AAACATTTCCTCCATGCTTCCAAGTGAAGCAAGACATGGTTGAGCAGGACCTTTGACTTCTCTTCACATAGATGGAACTGGTAAAAGAAAGGAGCCAGGGGCTCCTTCCAAGCCCATGCGAACCCTGAAGAACAGATCTTCCAATGACTTGAAGAGTAAAAATAAATTGGTTTATTTGGGCAAACTGTATGGTCTTAAACACCCAAAAGGAAAGTACAACCAAAGATTAAAGTGATCAGTGCATTTCTTTAAGAGTTCAAGGGATTACAGTTCCCAGACATTAGGCTTAATTTAAGTCCATATAAAATGTTATTTAGACAAGTATTTCTCATTGATGATTTTGCTCCTAACCAGAAAGTGTTGCTCAGATGTAAGACTTCAAATCTTGGTCTGCAGGTAGTTTGCCCACCTGTAGCTAAGAGAGACAACCCGCTATTGTTCTAAAATGATGGATAAATTTGTTTTTTCCCCCATCTAGAAGCCTTTGAGAGGGAACTGACACTGATTCTAACCACTCCAACAGCTATCAAAATACCTGAAAGCAAATCCTGCGTCCATCACTCTAGAGTCCAGCCTTGCCAGACAGAAGAAAAATGAGAAGGAACCCAATAGAGGGATGCTTTTGGGAGCCCTTGTCAAGAAATTTCAATGGACTTTCATATGAACATTTGAAAATTGCCCTGATCTGACTTTTTTCTAGTTCCCTGTCTAGAACTTGTAATGCTAATTACTCTTGCCTTTACTTTTACTTCACATTTCCTATTCACCAGTCAAGGACTTTCTTTCCCCCCTACAGAGTTATGCAATTTGGGAATCTTTTAGATAGACCCACTGAAGGGGTACTCCAATTGCCTCACCCTGCATCCCTGTTCAGCATGGAAGAAGCCAAAGCTGTCTGTGTCCCGATTCCCTATTGGCAATTTGGGTAGCCCTCTTCAGAGGATGGCATGATAAGACTAGGAGGTAGGAATTGGCTAGGCAGTTAGGGTAAAGACCCCAAAGAAAAGCAGCCAGTTTCTTGGCTAAAACTCACAATGTCCTTGGGCCTCTCTTAGCAACCTATTTTGTTCCAAAAGCCAAAAATGTCGAAAGTATTTGGGAGGTTTTATCTAATCCTTAAAAGATTTTAGCATTACCTCTTCAGATGGGGGAATGTTAGAATAGCCAAAAGCCCCATTCAAAAAATAAAAGAAAGAGTACATGAGGTTATCAGAAAAAAGGTGATGGGGAGATATGGGAGAAGTTGGAGGGGAGGGAGTGTGCATGGATTTGATCAAAACACCTTATATGCATGTATGAAATTCTCAATAAATTATTTTTTTTTTAAAAAAAAAAAACACTGGTTGTTCTTGCAGAAGACCTGGGTTTGAATCCTAGCACACACATGGCAGCTAACAACTGTCTAACTCCAGTTCCAGGGGATACGATGGCAATACACTCATACACATAAAATAAAAATAATAAATATTTTAAAAAAGAAACAGGATTCGTGGGCTGCAGCACTGCTTGCTTGGGGACGAGGGAACATCCCCACATCCCCTCAGAAGCATGTTATGAGAGCATTGTGGGGAAAACTGAGGTGTTTTTCTAAACATGAAAAAAAGTCTTGCATTCATAGCACCCTTATTTGGTTGAGGAGAGACAGTAAGTGAAATAAGTAGTATCACTGTATCAGATAGTAAAAAGGCCGGTGGAGAAAATTAGTAAGAGAGACAGCGGGTGCTGAGGAGTCTGGGTGGGCTATAGCTATTCTGAATCAGAGAATGCCTCGCTGAAGTGAAATGTGGGCTATGATCTGAAGGAGGTCCAGAAGCCACAGACACCTTGAGAGTTCCAGAGAGAGGTGCAGCAAGTGCTGAGGCTGCTTTGAGGTGGTCTAGTATGTAGCCTGGGTAAAGACACGCCATACCTGCAGACCATGTCCAATCATTTAGAAAATAAACAAAGGTGGAAGAATGATGAAACAAATGGAGCAAAATGCAAACGTCTGAGTTTCTAGGTCAAGGCCTGGTGGGTACCTGGTACGAATCTTGCTAGGTCAAGGCCTGGTGGGTACCTGGTATGATTCCTGTACCTTTCTCGTAACTTGAAGCTACAACTCACACCCAGCACAGACACATACAAGTAAATATGAAAGTGAGGATTGTGCCAAATGATGCAGCTCTCGCTCCATAGCCCCAGCTGGCCTGGAACTATGTAGACAAGGCTGACCCAGAACTCAGATTGGCCTCCCTCTCTCTCCAGAGTGCTGGGACCAAAGGTGTGTGGCAGCATGCCTAACCTTAAATTTGACCTTAGATTTATTTAATAATGTAAAGGTCTGGTTGAGGGCAGGGTGGGTGTGAAGGCATGGATGGAGTGGTACAAAAAAAACTAGAAGAGGGCTGGAGGTGTAGCTCAGCGGTAGAGAATTTGCCTAGCATGTGTGAAGGCCCAGGTTCAATCCCTAGTACTGCAAGAGTGGAAGGAGAGGAATTGAGGTCAGGAAGAAGTCAGTAAGTACAAAACTCAACAGACTTGGGGCAATGGCTGGAGAAGAGGAGCCAAGAGTCCTGTCCACACAGCATGTTTGCATGCTCATACTGGTGAGCGGTAGAGGGAAGACGGGTTGAGAGAGGAATGGGCCTGCAGATCAGTGACAGAATGACTCTAGTGGATGGGAGCAGAGTTGTTTCCTTAGGTTCCTGGGTATACAATTCAGATTGTCATTGTCTCCCTGCCAAAGGTCCCCAGGATGGCAGATGTACTTGACCACGTTGGGCCATTATTTATCTCTGTGAAGGACACCACACTTCAGAGAAATGTAGGGTGCCTCAGTAAGAAACAGCTCAACAGTGCTTGCCTAGCATTCTGGTCTGATCCCCAGCACTCCATTAGAAATGAATAAAGGCACCTCTTGTGGGATTTGGATCTGGTTAGGTGATTTTGCGGGACCATTAATGTCGGGGTTCACGCTGAATTGGGTGTCAGAAAACACAGTAACAGGACAGCTACTTGATCAGTACTTGATCATTACAGCCAGGAGAGAAGGTGGTCATTTTTGTGGTCTCAAGTAAGCAGGAAAATCATTAGCCTCTAAATCTCCTAAGTGTTGTGAAGTTTAAATGAGTAATTATGTACGCATGGTCCTGGCCTGGGGAAGCACTCAGTAGGTTCAATCTATTATATTATGCCTCCATCATTAAATCCGCACAGTCTCGTCAAGCTCTTGGCATGGGGGTGAGTTCTCCTTTACCACTGAAATTAAGCTAAATAAGGAGAGAAAAAGTAGGAAACTGAAAACAAAGAGAAAAGATGAGGATATCGTTCCATGTATGAATTTAAGTTGGGAGAAAGAGATTTAAGGTTTACAGTGGTATCAACTTTTTAAAGTATCCTATACATCCATCAAAAACAAGGTCACCAAACCAGTTTTTATGCATAGGAAAATTTTACTAAGAAAAATATAAGAACACATATCTCATTACAAGTAATATATCACAAAAAGGGAAAATGAGTTCACATAATTATCAAGTTTTCACACTAGTCTTTGTCAGGCCCTGTAAGAAGACAGTGCAGGATGACACACTCTAAAGGCATCATTGCCACAAGACTGGCCATCCATCATTTTACCTTAACACAAGGGTGGGAAAGGCAAAGCAACAAGTTGCAATGTGCAGCTTCAAGTCAGTTGTTAATCTTGGGATATTACTGAAGGGAACACAAAAACACTAATCGCAAAAATACAGTTTCACTTCCTGTAAATTTTAAAGTTCATTACACAAAGTATAATAAAACACTGGGTAGAAATTCTGTCAAATAGTTAGCTAAAATGACTTTCAGAAATTCCATTTTCCACACATATTATCACTTTCTAATTATTCCCTCCTTAATGGAAGTTGTATACACATAGAGCACAATAGGTACCACTTAGAACATACCTCACAGATGCACAGGTACAGATTCACAAAGAACAGAACATGGGTGCTATTGAAAATGATCTGCACAAAAGCGACACCAGTCGGCAGTTTTGTGAATATTATTAAATCAAGTTGTTAGTGAACTGGCTATTGAGAATCTTTGGTGTAATCTCTCAAATTCAAAACAAAAAATATATACATCTAATACTTAATAAGAGGTTTGTATTACATTTGAATTGTTAAGTAGGAACAGAATAAAAATTAAGCCAACAGGCAAAATGCAACTAATATACAAATTGGTGAAGACTTTTCACTCAGATGAAACTGGCTGCAGAGGCTTTTCTTTGCTGAAGGGGGTCTGAACTGAGCCCAGCTCTGCTGCTCACCATTAGCTGCTTCACAAGTCATTTAACCCCTCTATGCCTGTCCTTGTCTGTAAACCAGGGACAGAAACACAGGGCTTTCATGATTAAATATGCAAGATGCTTTACACACCTGGCCCAGAGTAGGCATTGCCCATATAATTTTAGCCTATCATACTTTGCCCACTGTATATACCAAATGTATTGCTGGCAAGCCAATGACCACATGAGAATTGGTGATTTGCTAGTACACAAATAGGAAAGCAAAAATAATTTTTCTAGAATTCTAGCAGTTGGGAGGCTGAGTCACAATTCTGAGGCTGGGCTGGGTTACTGGCCACGTCTCAAAAACAACCAAAACCAAAACCAAGAATTCAAATCAAAGCAAAACAAACCAAAACAGGACGTCTGATAATTGAGGAACATATACTACAGATTTCCCTTAGTCTAAGACTTAAAAGGTACTGAATGTAGGAATAATGTCTCAAATAGCAAAGATGCAAATACACATACTTGGAAGAAAAAAAATTAGTCCACTTTTGGCAAAATACCATTTATCCAAAGATACAACAATTTGACATACACATTTTATCCAACTAACCTATTTCCTTATTTTCTTTGAGGGATAATTTCCTTTAAGGAAAATAATTGCTTTAAAAATATAAGCACTACTTTAAGCCCCAGTAAAGATTAGAGAATTCAAGTCATGCCTTTGCATTATCCGAATTTACTGAAATTTGGGGGGGGGGCGGCAATCTCTTCCAGCTCACATTAAGGTATACTGATTTCAGATGATGTGGTTTTTCTGTAGCTGAATTTATTTTGACTATTTAAAATACTAAGTATATTACTTTAGTTCATCTGTTGATGGTTTTGTTTTCTGGGACAGGGTCTCACATAGCCCAGGCTGGCCTTAATATCCATATGTAGCTGAAGCTGGCCCTGACCTCCTGATTCTCCTGCTCCCACCTCCAAGGAGCTGGGATTAGACGGGTGTGCCACCATGCCTGGCCATGTTTGTTACAGGCGGCAATGTGTCTACTCCTGAACATGTCTTGGATGGAAACAGAATGGTGCTACTCCATGCTTCAGAATTGCTTTTGAAATGAACTCCAGTAATGAGCTCTCAGATTTATATCAATGTTCTCAAGAATTATGGATGCTCAGCAGGGTTAGTTTTATTTAGGTAACTTAACAGAACATGGACACTAGCGTATGAAGGCTACCCATGGGACAACAAAAAGAGCTGGAAAATGCTCCAGACATCAAACCACATGGACATTTAGATGTATTTTTCACAAAGGCCAGGCTCTCTCTACCCCTCACCATCCTTAAAGAACAATGACTAATATTCTACACTCCTTAATATTCACTCAATCTGAATTTATTATTAACTTTGTAAAATCCCTTCTCCAGAGGCTAATTTAGAGGAAAGTCAAAGTAAGCCCAGTCATGAGAAAATAGAGCTGTCCCACAAGCATCTACTTGATAGCTAATCTTTTACAAGGGAAAATGGGTTACTAGATTTCATTTAAGTGAGCTTAAAACAAACAGTATTCTAGACATATTTTCAGAAAAATTCTGTCCAGTTTCATTAACTTTTTTAGAATAAATGTCTCACATAAACTAAGGAAAACTAGATGAAAGCCAGTTAAGACATTTCAGTTGAGCTTTTCATACAAATTGAACTGTAGAGTATCTGAGCACTAGACTTAGAAGTACAACATGCAGTATTCTGAAGCAATGCCATCAGCCAGGTCTGTGCAGCAATGATGGCATCACCTGGGAGCACCTTAGAAATGCAAGATCTTGAGCCCCAATGTGGCCTCCTGCGGCAGCAGCACCACCAGCATGGGTTAGCTCTCCAGATGACTCTGATGTCCCCTTTAAGGCAGTGACTGCAAGGACAGGGACCCATCAGAATCCCCTGGGGACCTGCTAAAATTAGGGGTTTGCCCTTAGAGGTCCACTGGGGCCTAAAGGTAGGGAGCAGAGGCATCTCCAATTATAAAAAGTTTCACAGTGATTCTGAAGCAACCTCCTGGTTAAGCAGTTTAAGGAAAATCTTTTAAAACTTTCCTGTTACCATCCATTTATCTGCTTTACCCTCACCAAGTTATGCAATTTCCTTCACAATAGATGAGAAAGCAGGCTTTCCCTTTCCTCTAAATGATCACTGAAAACTAATCTGCAGAATTGTTTCTCTTCTCAGCAAAACTCCATTACTACTCAAATTACCTTCTTGCTTGCTAAGTTTCCATAGAGGGCTCAAATGTTTTATTATTTTAAATTTGATGCCATTATGGTCTCTCCTTCCTGCCAGTACTCTGATATTAAAATTTTAAATTTAATTTATGTCCAATAATTGATACTTGTTCATAAATGAACTATATTTCATTTGGTTGTTTTGATAAATGACTTACATTAACTTCACAGACATATTTAACTAACTTCTTAGAATTACTTTAATTCAGCCTATGTCCCTACCTTTAATAAACAAAACAAAAACACTTATAATTTGTATACTTGTAATATTAAAGATTTGACATAGAAAACACCTGTTGTCAACAAAAACATGAAAAGTCTTTCATTTTCATGATTTTTTGTAACATTTCTGTGTGTGTGCATGTGAACATGCCATGGCACAGGTCTGTAGGTCAGAGGACAACTTTCAGAAGTTGGTTCTTTCCTTCTACCTTATGTGTCTTAAGGATCAAACTCAAGTGTCAGACTTGGGAGGCAAGCATCTTTACCTTCTGCACCATCTTGCTGGCTATGTGTGTGTCTCTCTGTGTGTGCATTATTGTTGTTTTTATGAGACAGTGTCACACTATCTTGCCCAGCCTCAAACTTAAGATCCTTCTGCCTCAACCTCCCAAGTGCTGGGACCAGTTACGGGTAACCTTTCACCTTTAATTAAAAGAATCCAACTATGGTCTAGTTCATTATTTCACAAATCAAACTTCTGACTACTCATTTGTTAAATAAATTCACGATTTTTCTTTCCTCTCATACTTCAAATGGCAATGCCATTTTAACCTGGATTTTTTTGGTTTTGTTTTGATGGTGGTCCTGTGGCTTGAACCCAAGGTCTGGTGCCTGCTAAGCCTACATACAGCATTCAGAATTTAGAATCAATCTCTACAGGCAGAAAGATGAAAAAAAGCCCATTTTCTACAGTGAACTATCAAGTGAATATTCTATCATCTATGAATTGCTTTTCATGGTTACACTTTTAGAATGGGCATTTAAAAAGTCTTGTCTTTGACCTGCACATGGTGGCTCACCTATAAACCCAGCACTTGGGTGGCTGAGACAGGATTGTCTCTATTGGAGGCAAGACAAGGATACATAATGAGTTCCAGGCCAGACTACAAATCTCAAAACACAAAAGCAAGTTTTGTCCTTTCCCTCAAAGCGCACAGAACAGGCGAACAGCACAGCCATACTATTATTGCTCAAGATGCTTTGGAGTTTCCTTCAGGTTCTCCAGCATGTGACACAGGAACATCACTGTTCTCAGCCAGCTATCACTCATTTTCCTGGGATTAAAAATGGCATGTCCTGGTCTGATACCTACTTTATCCCTGTTTACCTTGGAAAACTATTAAATCCTTGTTCAAGAGAAAGATGTCACTACCAATGTTTAAAGGAATATACCCTAGAAGAATCCCAAAATTACTGCAAGGAGCAAAGAGCATGACTGTTGGAGAGGGAAACCGCAGTTAACACCCTCAGATATGAAACATGGTTAATTCATTTTCAAAGTCACATGCCATTAGTCATAACATGTTAAGAATCCCACATCTTCTCGACTAGAAGGAAAAGAAAAATCGCTGTGTTTTCATAACAACAAACCTTAATTTCTACTTGGTCAGTAAGATAACTGAAGTAACTCAACTGATGTACTACTTTCATTAAATGAAGTGGTCTTTGTACACTGGTGCAGATGACTGCTTCGTCCAAAGGCAGCAGTGGTTCCTCCCACTCTTCCATATGTCAAAGCTGGCCTTGCGTTAGTGCCAGAAAACTGGAGGCCATTTTTCCTATCTCCCTAGATCTACTACAGAGGGATTAATTCCTTGGGGGGATTAATTCTTTGGGATAAGGTCAAAATTTGACTTCTCAAAATTTTGTACTCACATTCACAAGTAAATTTCCGTTTTAGTAGCCCTAAAAGAATTAAGTGAAAGATGAATTCCTGTAAAAGTAAACAACAAATGATGCAGCGAGCAGGAACAAGCATCCAAGAGACATCCACAAACATTGTTAACACCCCAGGTATAGTCTGCAGAGCAGAACTAAAGCATTCTGGGTTTTTGATTGTAGGGGACTGGTGGGCTTTAACAGAACACATTCATCCCCAACAGAAGTGGAGATTCATGGGGAAAAAAATGCCAAGCAAAGTGTTGGGGAATAAAACACGACAGGAACAAGAACACCACCATAAATCTGAGAATATGATTTTTTTGTCTAAAAGAAGTGGTTCCTTGAAGCATGAAATATTGGTGGGAGAGCTTCTATTCTGTTATCTGGGGAGGCTTTAATGAGGACTCCGGCCAGTCATACACATCTGGCAGCAGGGAAACATAGTTACTTCGCCATATTCTTTCTTTCACATACTTGGCCTTGTCTTCAGGCTCTGGGTATCGGAAAGCCATTTTGTTGGCATACAGGTATTCTGTAACCTGGAAAATAAATAATATTACTATATAGGCTCTGAGTGTTAACCTATCAGAGAAAGAAAGTAGTATTACAACACATAGACATGAATTTAGAAGAATGCTACTCCCTCACCAATTATAAAATAATTATTATGCTCAAAGATAACTTAAAAATTATCTGTCATCTCACAATAAATTTGATTTGTTCTGCTCACCTTCCTGAGCTGGCGTAGAATTAATAGCATTTCTGTAATACTTCAACCCAATAAGCAAATCTAAGTTGTATTGTGTTAATCCAGGAGACACATCCAGGGGATGTGCCCAGCCATCATTCCCATGGCCCTGCTGCAAGGGTGGTCTTAGTGTAGGAGACTCCACCTCCTGGTCAGAGCTGCCTGTTGGGTGAGCGCCTAACCCCCATCCAGACAGGTGCTTCTGCTCTTCTATTTGGATTCTGAGGCAGGAAACTATGACAAATCAAGTGGTAAACTCTAGAAATGAGTGACTTAAATAGATTTCTGAGTCCTGCAACCAAGCCACAGCTCACAACAGTACTGAGGATGCAACATGAGTTAAGAAAAACTTTGAGGGCAGCAGTGTCTGCCACATAGCAAAGTTTTCAAGTTAGGGTATTATTAAAAACAAACAAACAAACAAAAAACAAAAAAAAACACCTCTTTTTTTTTTTGAGAAAGGTCTCCCTGAAGCCCCAGTTGGTCTGAAGACTGGACTCGCCTTAATCTCAGAGAGATCCTCATGCCTCTGCCTCCAAAGTGCTGAGATTACAGGTGTGTGTCACCACGCCCTCATTCAATTTTTTTCAAGTATAGTAACACACAATAAATAATGTAAATTCTTTCTCTTCTTCCAATTTCCACTCAAAACTGTGAACACTATTATTTTATTTCATTTCTCAAAAAAAATTTTAACAAAATGGGGGTTAAGAAATAATTCTTAGTTCCAAGGATCCCACCCTCATTATATAATATGGCAGAAAATTTTTTTCTATTCTACAAGCATAAGCATATAAGCATAGTTTGCTAACATATTAGTATCACTGACTAGACAAATTAGTAGAAGACTGGATCCTTGATGGCAAGCAACAGATTAAAGATCTAAGAGTACTAGAAAATCCAAGGACCAAATAAACACATCATACACATCATTAGTATAGCTTGCTGCCTACACTGCCCCAGTCAGATTTTATATCTAAATAGGAAAAAAGAAGTAATATTCAAAGATAAGGAAATAATTCTGATTCCAGGAAGATGGAGAGTGAGAAACACTGGGCACTGCACGTGAAACAACCATAAGACAACTCTGAAGAAGGACCAGCTGGGAACGTCAGACCAGCTGGGAACCTCAAGATAGGAGGAACAATATGATGGTAAATTTTCATGTTTTCTTTGGATATATGTACCCCAAATTTGGAGCTGAAGGAGACAGGAGTCCCCCAATACCAAAGAAGCCTCAACAAATGAATACTGCTCTCTCTAACCAAAGAATCACGACAGCTTTTAACAATACAGAAAACTTTTATTAGACAATAATCACTCTCTTCTAGCCAACACCCAGATATACTATGGTTAACCTACCTATGCTAACAAAAGCAGAGAGGGGCACTCAGACTTCCATCCCCACGTATCAGCAAGGTTCTGGGGTCCCACTCCCACTGACAACAGAGAATCTGTGGGAAGCAGGGACTTCTATTCCTAACTAGGCAGTGATACATCACTTCCCAAATACCAAGCCATTGGGGTAGTTTGTCAGAGAAGGCTTACAGGATAGTTAGGACCGACCATCTCCTGGGGTAGAGGCCACTGCAGTCAGAGCGGAGCAGCAAGGAGGAACTCCCTCCCCAATGTCAGCATTGGGTCTCTACCTGCAGTAACAAGGCAGCACAGGCCCCTCCCCCTGGTAAAGCAGCTTAAGAGAAAGTCATTTTAAAGGAAGATTTAGTAAGGCAGAGAAAACAGCAGGAGACACTGGACATGAACCTCTAGCCTCTGTGCATACATATGCACACAGAAGTGCACACATACATAAACACACATACATGCATACACCACACACACACACACACACACACACTTAAAAACACTTTAAAAGAGACTATTTAAGGTTTAGACCCTCATAATATGAAGACATTTAAGTTTCAATTAAAAGGCAAAACCCCACCCAAACTACAATAACCCCAAACCCCCAAGTCACTCATATCTGGAAGATGTCAAACTATAATAAAAAGACCCAACAGATGTCAAAACCATGTCGGCAGGCAGATGTTCAGATTATCTGACAAAATTTTTTTAAAGTCATGAAAAAAGTTCCTTAGAAAGCAATTCTGAACTTGCTTGATACAATGAAAACTGGAAAATCTCAGTAGAGAAATATAAATTCTTTGTAAAGAAATAGAAGATACAAAGAACCAGATGAAAATTTCACCTCAGAAAAATTCAAATAACTGAAATTAAAAAAATGTATGCATCAGATCAGCAATCAACAGCAGAACAAGGAAAAAAAAATCAGTGAACTAGAACACAGAAAAATAGAAGAAAGAAAAAAACGCTGAGCAAATAGACTTGGAAAATTAAAAGAAGGAAATAGTGTCTTGGGGACCTGTGGGACTACAACAAATCATCTACCACTCACGTCACCAGAGTCCTAGGAAGAGATGAGGAGATTGTAGTTAAGTACTCAAATGTCTGAACTCAAATGCAGCAGGAGACAACTGCAGACTCAGAAAACTGGAAACAGGATATACCCAAGTAGTGCACAACAATAAAGATCATAATTAAAAACTGAACAGAGATAAATTCTTAAAAGCAATGGGAGAGAAATGACAGCTTACCCAGAAAGAAAGAAAGCTGATAACAGCAGATTTCTCCTCAAGAGCCTCAAAGGCAGCAGGAAGTAGTACATTTCTCTAGTGCTGAAAGAAAAGAACTACATCAACCCAGAATCTGACCCAGCAGAGCACTCACTGCTCATTCTCAGGAAAACCAAGAGTAAGCCAGTAGCTGATCTCCTCTGAAAGAATTTCTCTAACCACAAAAGGTCATGCTAAGTAAGAGGAAGAATCCCTCTTACAGTGAACTGACCATAGCAACACAGATAAGGTAGGCCTAGAGCAACCACTGGAAAGCTATACAGATAGACTAAAAATTTCTGTGAGGGGCTGGAGATGTAGCTCAGCAGGAGAACATTTACATAGCATGCATGAGGCACAGACTTCAATCCCTAACATCACAAACAGGAAAGACATGTTGATCTTCCATGTATATGTACTCAACAAAGAGGAGGTCCAGCAAAAATACAGACTGAACAGAGAAGCAAATCCATAACACCATAACCCTTGCTTTCAGCAATCATTACAGTAAGTGAACAGAAGAATCAAGGACAGAGAAGTCAGTATCACCATCAGCTGCCATACCTAGGATAAGTCACTATGGAAGCGCAAGGGAGAGTTATAATCCTGGGCTTACAATCAGATACTAATCCAGAGCAGTTTCTTTCACAGTACCACGTTTTGACATACTAGCCTGGGCTATAGAAGACCTTGCTTAAAAACACAACAAAAAAAACCAACATGAAAAGGTATGCGTATGTATGCACACACACACACACACACACACCCTATGTTTTCCTCTTTGTACCCTTCTAAATGTTAAAAATTTACTTTTATGGGGATGGAGAGATGGCTTAGCACTTAAAACCACAGGCTGCTCTTGCAGAGGACCTGGAGTTCAGTTTCCAGCACCCACATGGAGGCTAACCACAACCAGCATGCAGGACTCTAGTTCCAGGGATCTGACGCCCTCTTCTGGCCACCACAGGCATTACATGACATGGGTGTACTTACATACATTTAGGCAAAACACTCATACACATAATTTCTAATGAACTTGTATTACTTATATAATAAAATGTCATTAAAATTTATGAAAATATAAATTACTTACTTTAATAGCAATGTTAGCAGAAACCTCCTGAATATTAGCAAGTGGTGGGTAAAGTCTCCCTTGTGCTAATTCTTCATCTGTCAATTGACTTGTTAGTGCCTGAGAAGAAAAACAGCATCATACTGTTGTTAGTTTAAATAATAGAAGAATCAAGTCAATGTAAAAAGCACTGGAGCATAAGAAAACTACATACAACTGAATTCTTATGACTTGCAAGACTACACTAAATCGCTATATAAATTAAGTTGTTTACCATTAAGTAAAAAAACAGAGCCAGATTTAAAGGCTTAATGGTGTCTTTTGCTTAATATATGTACAGCTGGGCATAATAACAACAGTTAATAACATAGGCATCAGCATTACTATCAATGTGAGTTCAGAATTCTTATTGAAAAGTCTGGAGCTCCAACAGGCCAATATGTCCAGTAGCATAATACTTGTTCATTAAATATACAGGAGTTATAGTTTATCTATGCCATCACAATGCTGCCTTCAGCTATATATATATATATATATATATATGATATATATATCACACAAACACAGATAGTCTGTGCTATCAATATGAAATTCATAGCTTACAATCAAACATTTGAAAAGTTATGATTTTAAAAATTAACCAAATACAAAAGTAGATAGAGAAATAACAAAATAATAGATGGGTTAACTTCCTTTTCATTCACAAGGTGGACTTAACCCGCTCCCTCTGTTTTTAAAATCCGTTCAGCTTCCTAATTCATACTTTATAAAATCAGGAATATTTAAAACATTACCTTTGCAGCTTCTAGGAAAACACTGTCACTGATATGCCGGGTTTGACAGAGAATAACAGCTAAAGCCACACCTAGAATACAGGTTACACAGTTTACTTAGTAATGTCACTTCAAATTATGAAAGGGGCTCAACTTCTGTACCAAAACAAATAAATGGTATTCTACTCCCAACCCTAACAGCTCCCAAGAGAAAACAAAATTTGAATTAAAACAAAAGCAAAGGAATCAATCTTTGCTAATGTCTCCTTATTCACGAAAGAATCATTTTATAAATGGCTTTCTCAATTTAGTTTTTACATTTATCAACATTAAAAATGTTACAGGCATGTATGAGGACCTACTTTAATTCCCAGAGCCAAAAAAGAAAGAGAAAGAAAGGGGAGAGGAGGGAAGGAGAGGAACAAACAATACATCTTTGCTAACCTTTAAAGGGAAAAAGCAAACCAGCTCCCAGCCCACCTCTGGCCTTCCATTTCTTGCTCAACAGAGGCAGATCCTCTCAGTTCTTATAGTTGAGTATTTTAATATTTTTTGCTCTTCAATAATTTGCTTTATTTCTTCTGATTTTTGAGTTTAGAGATCAGATTCCTCCTTGTGGGAAGCAAGTATTCAGTTCTCCTCTTTATTTACAGCCTTCTCTTTTCCCAATATATTCAGAGCATCATTTTGGTTCAATCAGCATTCATTCACTGTTTACATTATGACTTCATAGGTGTTACTCAAAACCAGGCCATGTATTAACACTGTATTAGAATTACTTTTCCAATCTGCATAAATTTTCCTTTCCTAAATGTTTATTGTCCCATTTCCCGCTTTGATTTTTTTTTTTTTTAGTAATTAACATTTCATCCTGGAACTCTCCCTTAATTGTCTAATTGTCTTGTGTTTTGGCTACCTCGTGTATTCTCCAACTTCCTCTAGGGTACACCTCTGTGCAAGCTCCAGTCAACCTGGTCATTCTTCCTTTCAGACATGAAGCTGCTGTCCTAGAAACCCCACTATCATTTAGGGACTCTACTGCTTTCTGAGTGCATTTACTAACCCTTCCTTCTTTCCCTAGTCTGTTATTCTCTCTTTCTGGCAGGGTAGGTTTTCTGGAAAAACAATGCATGGGAAATATATTTTTAAACTTTGTATTTCTGAAGATGTGTGCGTGTGTCTACCTCTTTCCACATATCTGGTTTGGAATTCTAGTTTGGAAATAACCTTCCTCCAGAACTATGATGACCATCATTCTCTCCTAGCTTCCAGCACTGGTCCAGGGCCAGCGTGGCTTTAAATCCTGTTTAGGTAACTATCTTTCTTTTCATATCTGAAAGCAAGAGATCTTATTTTCTATCACTGGTCCAGGGCCAGCGTGGCTTTAAATCCTGTTTAGGTAACTATCTTTTCATATCTGAAAGCAAGAGATCTTATTTTCTGTGATTTCATAACACTGCTTTAAGGCACGTTTTCATTCACTGTTTGACACTCAGTGATGAGTCTTCCTCTTTGAAAACCTGAGGTTTCCTACCTTGAGTCTTTCCAAATGTTTGTGAAGTCTTTGATGTCCTTCCATTTCCTACTCTCTTGCCTTGAAAATTTTATTTTCTGATACTGTACCTCCGGTGCTGCCATCTAGCTTTATTCTTTATTTTCCATCTCCTGTCCCAACCTATTTTTAAGTGGTTTCCTCAACTTTTTGATTTTAATTTTTCTGCTAGCAGCCTTTTATGTTCAAGATTTTGCTTTGTTTTCTAACTTAAGAAAACAAAAACAAAATTCTGTCTTGTTTTGACATATACATTATCATTATGAGGATATGTATTGCTCTTTTAAAATTTCTCTTCCCCACAGTCCTGTTTTTTCCCAAGATGCCTTTTTTTTTGGTCTGGTCTGCTTTGGTCTCTTTTATGAAATCAATCCTTTTTTAATAAGAGACTTTCATTAGATGATAACTAAGCATTTCTCATATTTAAGGTAAAGAGTACCAACATAAGTAGCCATAAACGCAAGGTGGGGCTCACCCAGTCTGGGCACCACTGCACAGCGACCTGGTTTTCAACCTCCCTCCTCTCTGGCACCTCTGTTCTCAGCTCTGTCTAATGTCTTCTATTCTAAACATTCTAATTTACTCTGTTCAAAGAGAAGTCTACCAGCTTCAGCCATAGACAGTAAAGTGATCCTATGATTACACAGAGATTAGAAAAGGATCACATATTAAACAATTTATGTTAACAGCCCCCTCATAAACATCCATCGCCCTTTAATGTAGATACTTAAGTATCTAAGGCTAAATCTAGTGTCTTTTCTCCTTACATGTGTCTTGCCTAGATTATGTTCCTTTTTCTTTCTTGCTTTTATTTTTCAATGATTCCATTTTATCCTCTCAAATTCCCTTACCAGAAACTGGAAAAAAATCTAGCATGCTAGTGGTTATCCTGAAATTTATGATATGCATTCTTATAAGACGTTTCTATTAATTTTTAATTTATCTTCTTGCCAGACAACACAAATCCCTCTAACAGTTTCATTCTATTTAACTGAAAGCATGGTTGAACATTTTATCTCTATACATTTTTTTTTTTTTTTTAAACAGGGTCTCCCTGTAGCCCCAGGTACCATGGAACTTTCTATGCAGACCAGGCTGGCCTCTCATTCTGCCAACTGCCCCTACCCTCTGTGCTGCGATTAAAGGTATTCTCTCACCACTGAGCCTCTGGGATTCTTTTCTACCTCTGGAAAGAAATCTCTGGATTTCTTTCTACCTAGGGAACAAGACTTCCTTTTATTTTCCACAAGTCTGTAGGCAATGAGTTCTCTGCTGTCCTGAAATGTCTTCATTTTGCTCTGCTTCTTGGAGAATGTTGTCACTGTGTGATGAATTCTCTGCAGGGGTTTCCTATAGGCAACAGAACAGAAGACCCCACTGCCTCTTGGCCTCCACTGCTACTGTGGAGTCAGCTGCTGCGCTCGCAGCTGCTTCTGTGCTGGAAGCAGTCTTGCTCCAGCTGCCTTCCTGCTTTTTCTTCCTTGTGACTTTCTGAAGCCTCAGGGCAGTTCTTAGGCGTGGACTCCTTTCTGTCCTTCAGGTTGCAGCGAGCTGCGTCTAAAGGTGTCCTCCAGCCCCATGGCCTGCACAGCTGCCTCAGCTTCTCTCCTTTCTTCCAGGGCTTCAACTAAACATCAGAAAGATCTATCTCTTACCTGCTCTTTTGCACTTTCCCTTTTGACACTGAGCTTCATTCTGAATTGCTTCTTCTAAGACACCGTCCGGTAATCTTCTTTGGTCTAATCTGCCAGAAGCCTCATTTCCCCCTTAGATTATTATTCAGATCTAGAAGTTACTGATTTGGCTGACGTTCTCAAGCTTGGCTTTTATCTGTATAAAAATAATAATCGTATTTGTGTCATAGCACTTTTCTTGCATGTAGGTTTGAACTCGTCTACTTTTCGTGTGCCTTCTGCTGGGCTGGCTTGTGCTTGTGTTGTCATGCCTCTCCAAGTGTCTCATCCTTTTTTTTTTTTTTTTCAAAGCAGGGGTTGTATCTGGAAACATCTTTAGAAAAATCATTTGAGGACCGGGATAGTGTTTTCAGAGACTTTTGCTTCTACTGGGCACTGGGAGTCGAGAGCAAAGGCTTGAGGTCTCCTAGACCACCCACTGCAGTAAGCCACGCTGCAACTCCCAGTGGCAGCCCTGTGCGGTTGGAGGCTGTTCATGAGAATCCTCCTTGGCAGGAGTCATGCTTGGAAAAGGTGGCAGAGCTGTCCCTCCTCCAAGAAAAGCACAGCTTCACCCTCAGCCATTTTCCCCTGATCACCGAGTGCTTCTAATGCAAGGTTGGCTTCAAGTGCTGGCCACCTGTTGAGCTCTCCTCTCCTTAACCTGGACCTAGAATCCTATGGCTTATCAGTCCATATGTTATTAGACTTTTGACCCTGTGAAGGTTGTTTACTTATTTTCTATTTTCTTTTTTAAAAATTTTATTTATTCATTTTAATTTTGTGTGTGGGTGTTTTGTCTGCCTGCATGTGTGTAAGTGCACCACACACATGCAGTACCTGTAGAGGCCCCCTGGAACTGAAATTACAGATGTCTGTTAATAACCCCCATGTGTGTGCTGGGAACCAAACCTGGTACTCTGTAAGAGCAGCTAGTGCTCTGAACTATTGAGCCCTCTCACCAGCCCCAATTTCTTTCTTCATTTTTATTTTATGTGTATGCACGTATTGCCTGTGCGTAGGTAAGTGCACCTGTGTTATACAATGCCCTCAGAGGTCAGAAGAGGCTGTCAGATTCCCTGGGACTGGAGTTATAGATAGTTGTTAGCTGCCACGGGGGTGCTGGGATTCAAACTCAGGTCTTCTGCAAGAACAACCTGTTCTTAACTGCTGAGCCATCTCTCCAGTCCCCCCAATTTCTTTTTTAAAACACAGTTTTACTATGTACCCTAGGCTGTCCCTGAACTCATAATCCTCCTGCCCAGACTCCTGAGTGCTAAAATTACAGGCTTGTGCCATTACACTCAGCTTTGTTTTTTAAATTTTATCCAGTTGTTAGTGGTTGAAATGGTAATTCTGACTATCAGAGCCTTAAGTTTTAAATTATCTTTATATACAGATATTCTGGACAAATCTCCCATTTGTGGGTCTATTTTTACCTGTAGTGTCAGGTCATTTTTCATATCCAGTCATAAGATTAATAACTTTCATTCACAAAATTAGTACTTTAAAATACTGTATAATCACCAAAATTTTTTTTTCTTTCTTTTTTTTTTTTTTTTGGTCTTTTTGAGACAGGGTCTCCCTGTAGCCCCAGCTGACCTGGAACTTGCTATGCAGACCAGGCTGGCTTCGAACTCAAAAAAGATCTGCTTGCCTCTACCTCTGGGTGCTGGGATTAAAGGCATGTACCACCATTCCCAGCTAACAGCCTAATTTATTTATTTATTTTTAAAATTTTATTATTTTTATTTTACGTGCCTGAGTGTATGGTGTATATAAATGCACTTGTGTCATATAATGCCTGAGGAGGTCAGAAGAGGGTGTCAGATCCCCTGAAACTGGAGTTATGGACGGTTGTTAGCTACCATGGAGGTGCTGGAAATTGAACCTGGGTCCTCTGCTAAAATAGACCAGTGCTCTTAGCTGCTGAGCTATCTCTCCAGTCCCATAACCGCCAAATTTCTTAATAGTCAAGTATGAAATTTTAAAATGGCTTTGTTAAAACTGTCAGACATATTCTCTTCCATGTTCTCAAATTTTTATGCCACAGGAATACTATTGGGTAGAATAGGCCAATTTAAACATTACTAACCCCTAGAAGGAAATCATTGATGACAGAAGAGTTTCCTTATAGAGGCTAGGTCTCAAGAGACAACCACAACAGGGAGAGAAAAGGATGGCTGTATATACAAAAACACTAGCAAAGCATAACCACAGGCTAAATGAATACCTTGTTTATTCTGACAATAGTCATAACATGCTTGCCTGATGCATGTAGGCTGAGTGCACTTACTTCCTCTAACTTAAGAGTCTGGTTATATACTAAAAATGAAAATACTTAATTTTTATATACTATCTTGGCCAAAAGACTGAGAAGCAATGGAATACTTAAATTTTTGAAATAGATATTGAAGTAGCTATGAATGAAATTATATGTCTCTGTTTTACTTTAAGGAAACTGAGAATACACCCTCTAAGTATCAAAAACACAGATAAAAAAGGCAAAGGTTAAAATCAAGAAATGAATTTAAAAGTCAAGGATGATACAAAGCTTCAACCATGAACAAATATGAGAAAAGATGAAATTATGGAAAGAAATGTTAAAAAATTTAGTAAGTAAGAATAAAGATGTGTTTTTACAGTGATACAGTTCACCCACAGAAATGCATGATAAATAGAAAAAACCCATACCTACATACAGTCTAATAATCTTAAAGAGGAAACCGCAAAGACTGAGAGGGAAAACCTTATATTATATACATGAGTGGGAATGGCCCGGGCTTGAGACCATCATTAGCACTACAGGCCTAACTACAGTGAACGGAAGAAAGTCCTCCAAGGTCTCAGGATGATGACTTTATAAATCTCAGTTCATACTGTTTAGTAAGAGGACAAAATAAGGGCATTTCAGATTTGTAAACTTGGGGTTTTCATGGGCTCTTTGTCCTTCTGGAAACAAGGTCTTGCTATGGAATCCTAGATGACCTGCACTTGCTATGTGGCCCAAACTGGCTCAAACTCATAGCTATTCTCCTGCCTCAGCCTCCCAAGTGCTGGGATTACTACTTACACTTGCTTCACATATTCCTTTGAAAAAATTCTTTCAAAGTTCACTCAAGGATACATTCTAGAAACATGAGTAAAAGAGTGTACTTGTGTATGAGAAAGGAGATGGGATGAAGAAACAGTTTGCTACAAAGTGAGATCAGGAAGACATGAAGACAGTTGGTGAGCAATTACTATTGTGGGGCATTCACTATACTTAATACTTGCAGATCTGTGTTCTAATATAATTATCAAATAATAATCTAGCCAGTGAATACTATTTACATAGTCATGTTTGTAAAAAATAATTGTGGTTCTGAATACTCATAGACAAAACATGGAAACAACAAAATGCAATGTACTTGTCAAAAAAATTTTACACAATGTAAGAAATATTAATTAACCAATATTGAGAGATGGAGTAAGATAAACACCAAGCATTAGCATTTCTTCCTTCTTCATGTGACCAGCTAATAAAATTTAAATTTCTGGGGCTGGGGAGAGAGCTCAGTGGTTGAGAGCACTGGCTGTGTAACCAGGACCTGAGTTTGGATCCATCCCTGCATCCATGCAAAAAGCCAAGCATAGTCTAGTGTACGCCAATAACCCTAGCACTGGCTGGTATGGTGGTGTGTGTATACAGAGACAGGATTTCTGGGGCTTACTAGCTGCTAGCTGGCCAAAACCCCCTCTCCAGGGAGCTCTAGGTTCAAGAGGCCCTGTCTTAAAGGAATAAAGTAGAGAATGATAGAGGATATCTGGTCGTCCTCTGGCCTCTGTACATGTACATACCAGGATACATGTGGGCATATACCACACACAGCACCGCCCCCCCAAATTCCTAATGAAACCCCATTTAAGCATGTTATATAAGGTAAAATAAAGGAAACTTACTAAGACAAGTTGAGCAGTAGAAGGAAGGTGTGCAATGTCACCTAGAGTTCACAGGGAAGCTCACATCTACACCTGATTTGGAAGAATCACAGCAAAGGGATAAATCTATGCTATGACTGGAACCGCCAGAAAAAGAGCAAACGACTCACAGCAGTTCTAGCTCAGAGTATGACGAGAGAGTAGCAAAAGAGGCTGAATAATTTTATAACCTTCTGTTCCTCTGTAATTTTATGAACTATGTACTACATTATTTCTATAATAAAATTTAATTACCAGTATAAATTTTCAAGGAAAATAAAGCAAGTCAGATTTACTGAATTGCTTGTTTCTCTGTATATACCACAATTCTATAAATACTGTTGCTTATTTCAACAAATGTTTTAATGTAATTAACTACTGATCTGAAACATCAGCAATGATGGCATTTACCTGGAAAAATATACACATTGTTTCCTTGACCTGGCGTGAAGACTCGTCCATCTTGGAGTTTCACTGGCTCAAATGGGCTGCCGCTGGCAAACAAACACCTGCCCTGTTATGAAACGAAATAATCTCTATTATTTTTGTCACTTATGAAAAGACCAAGGTGGAGTCATACAAAATTAAGATTTACGATAAGTTAGATCAATAAATTACCTGGAAACAAGAAATCATTTACTATATAATTCAATTCTTTAATCAAAAATCCTTATATTAGAATGAAGTTCAAATATTGCTGAAAAATATCCACTAAACTTTTTAAATTCTGACACTTCCACTTTTATAAAATTAAAATTGGCAATAAATAACACCTCAAATAATAAAGACAGATGTAAACACTATGAATGAAATGAGAACTATCAAAATTAATTTGCTACCATTTGCCATTTGGGCTTGCCAGGTGCCATGTGTTACTTGGTTAATCTACCTCTGGTGAAAACGTATGATTGTTACTATCTTCATCTCATTAAAAAAAAAAAAAAAGTGTGGCTCTCCTTTTCAAGGAGTTTTCTTTTTTCTTTTTATCCCCCATCAGATGGAGACTATTACAGATACCCACAACTGGTCAAAATGCAGAGAATGAGTGACTGTGGGGTGCTCAACCCCAATTGGTACATCTGCAATGCAACCCCTACACCTAAGATTCAGGGACCATCAGGACAGAGGTTGTGTAGAGAGTCAGAGGACCAGGACTCCCGTTTCTAGATAGTGTCTTTTAGACGTGACAGGGAAGCTGCATCCATGCAATCTCAACAATAGGGTTGCCTACACAGGATCTGCATAACACCACCACCAGCTGACATACCAGCATGGATGGGTGAAATTTCACAAGGCCACACCCCTAAATGAAGAACCACAGAAATCAATGGCTGCTGTGGGAGGGAGAATCAATTTACTCCAGGGTCAAGCTCCCTGATAGGTTATCTAATCCCAAGTGGTCACACCTAAACACATGTACATATGAACAACATTAAATGGACTCAGGAGATTTCATACATGTATACTGTATAATACTGTACTGTTGATATATGTAACAATAAGAGGAGGTCATGAATTTGAGGGAGCAGGGGACACACAGAAGGAGTTCGAGGGAAGGAGAAGTAGTAATGATATAAATACAGTACTCATGAAAGAAATTCTCAAAAAAATTCAAATTAAAAAAATCAGAAATCAAGGCTTTGATATTTTCAGGTACTTTGTAGACACTGCATATCAAATCTGCAGTAGTTAAAATTGAATCAATTTTTATATAAATCTAAAGTTTATATAAAATGGATTTTTTTTGTTATGCTGTATTATCCCCTAGAAAGCAGTTTATAATGGGATTTTCTATATTTCCAGGATAAATCAGATGCCCACGTGACTGAAAAGGACTAGAAATTTAATATATAAAACAAAATCCTTTGCATCACTATCCTATTCATCCCTCCCCCAAAAGGCAAAGAGCAAAGAATAGAACTCAAACAGGACAACTTGGTTTGGAATACTCAAGAACTACTAAAATAAGTAATGTTTAGGCTTAACCCATTTAAGTTAAGGAATGATTTACAGAAAACTGAAATATCTCAATCCAGATGGATACACAAATTACCACTGTACTGGAACATTCGACAAAAGAATTTTAAGTGTATACAGACTACATTTTATTTTCTTTTACCAATGTGAAAATGTAGCATATATCAATAGTAATGATTACTCTTTTTCCCCCCTTGAGACAGTTTCATGCAGCCCTGGCTGGCCTTGAACTCCATATTCTCCTGCCTCTATCTCCAGAGTCCTGCGATTACTTTATGCAATGTTGGGGATGGAATCTAGGGGCTTTGTGTATAGTAGGTAAGCACTCTGCCAGCTGATCCTAGAGATGATTCTTTATTGCAGACACTGAGCAATCGGAAGGTCCACTTTCTATGGCATTACTTCAGTAAGATATGCTTTCAATTTCAAAATGACACAAAGTTAAAGATTAGAAGCAGGTTAACTGTGTTAATGGCCAGGCTGTATCTTGGACTTAGGATTCCACATACCATGGAATTTCCACTTACTCTATAGCTGCTATACCCCTCTCATGTGCAGCTTGAGCACTGTCAGGTTTTATAAGACAGCAACCTCATTCTGCAGTTCAGTTTGAACAACTGGCCATTAAAACAAAAAGACATTTAAAAAATATTTTATTTTTATTTTATGTGTATGAGTGTTATGCCTACATGTATGTAAGTGCACCCATGTTACACAATGTCTGTGGAGATTAGAAGAGGGTGTTGGAGCCCCTGGAACTGCAGTTAAGGATAGTTGTTAGTTGCCATGTGGGTGCTGGGAACCTAACCTGGGTCCTGTGCAAGAGCAGCTAGGGCTCTTAATGGCTGAGCCATCTCTCCAACCCCAAGGACATTATTTTTAAAACTATTTTTCTCTTGTGGTCCCAGGTACTTTCCTGCCTGAGGGAACAAGCCAACTGAAGCTCAAGGTCAGCCTGCACAACACAAAACATATATAAAAGAAAAGCTATTTTTCACATTGAGCAGCAGAGGGTGTTAGAATAACACCAAGACACTAAAAATGGAGCTCTACAAATTAAGAGGTAGCCTCAACTACACAAAACTTAGGCCATTATTTTGGTGACAGCAAAAAAGAATTTACATAAAGTTAAACTATGAATCAATGATTCCATGATTTCTTATTTTTATAGGAGGTATCATTCATGACTCAGCTATAAAAACTGTGAAGAAATCTGCGTTTTAAAAAAATTGTTAACAGGCTGGAGAGATGGCTCAGTGGTTAAGAGCACTGACTGCTCTTGCAGAGGACCTGGGTTCAATTCTCAGCACCCACATGGCGGCTACAAAACGTCCTTAACTCCAGTTCCAGGGGAATCCAAAGCCTTCTTCTCACCTCCGTGGCATTGCACGACACGGGTGCACTTACATACATGCAGGCAATACACTCATACACATAAAATAAAAAGGTTTATACTGTGTGTGTCTGTGTGTGCACACACGCATGTGTGAACACATGTGAAGGTTAGAGGACAACTTGTGGGAGTTGGTTCTCTCCTTTCATCATGTGGGTTCTGGAGACTGAACTGAGGAAGTCAATCTTGGTGACAAGTGCCTTTACCTGCTGAGCTATCTCCCTGGCCCAACATATGTACCTTAAAATGCTCAATTACAGTTTACCAAGCTATTCTCCTTGGATAATGTTTGTTCTTTCCAACAATGTGTATGTAGTTCAATAATATTATTCAAAAAATAAAATTCTTAAATATTTGAACAGTTTTTTACTAATATACTACTATATAAAACATATATAACAACATTTTACATAACTTTACTTTGAAAATGCCGAAGGCTCGTGATATATTGGATCTGTATCAAACAGTCATTGTGCAAGACAGTGACTTAATTTGGGGGCTAACAGCTATCAGTTCTACACAAATCCTGGTAGATGGAACAGACAGTCAAGTTAAAGGTAAAAGGATAAACTAGAGACTACAGAGACCAATTTAAAAATCATCTTTATGTTGATTTATGGCTAATTTGAAAGAGGATTTCAGTAAGTATTATAGGCTTAAATTGTACCTACTGGAAATTAATGATCCAGAGAATTCACTTTGTCTAAGAGACTGGTGATGCTAAAGCAAGAGGATCTGAGAGTATATACACCAGCAGTCTGTAACACTGAGAACAGAAGAATGCTAGCTGTATCTGCAGCACAATATTAAGCTCAGAAAGTCCTGTAGGTTCTGCTTTGGCAATGATGTTCCAGGCTGTTTCATACCAATTTCCCCTTTGGTTACAATGAAAAATCTGCATTATTTCTTTTTGAGACAGGGTCTCCTTGTAGTCCCAGCTGGCCTGGAACTCGCTATGTCCAGGCTGGCCTTGAACTCACAGCAGTGATCGAATGCCTCTGCCTCTGGAGTGCTGGGATTAAAGGTGTGCACCACCTTTAAGTTTTTAAAGAGGCAGAGCACTGCCAAAGCAGTGAAAGTTTGACGTTGGGGGAGGGTGGGAGGAAGAAAGTTCAAGACCCACAAGTGAGCCAGGAGGAAAGCTTTTCCCTTCGAGGAGGTTGCTGATTTCAACAGCAGAACTGTGGCTGGGAACATGAGTCGCAAAGCTTTGGGGAGTATCACGACAACTCGGAAGCTTAAGTAAGTTCAGGAACCACAAAGGATAAAGGCTGCTGGTAAAGACCTCTGGGCTTTACCTCATACCCAAAAAGCTGCCCAGAAGGATGCAGTGAAGGCAACCTGGAAACGTACTAGACCCAGCCTGTACTCTGACTGGATGATGATGATGGAGCATGGCCTAACTATAGCTAGAGGAAAAGCAAAGGCCCCTTGGAGTAGTTCTTAACTCCGAATGACTGTTAAAACCTGCAACCCACGCTGCTCAGATATACAAAGAAGCAAATAACTACGCTTACAGGATTAAAACTGATAAGCAACACAAAACAGAGATAACAAGTACTGACTCAAGAAAGTGAGATTCTGTTACAATCCAGAACTTTAACATTATTTCACAGTCAAGCAATTTAATTACAAGACAGTTTCAGCAGTCACATGTGGTGGTGCGGCCTGTAAACATAGCATTTGGGAGGCAGAAGCAGAAGACAGCAAGGTTCAAATCTGGGCTACACAACAGAACCAGTCTCCAAAAAGAAACAGAAAGAAAAATAAAAGAAAAATTCAGCAGAAAGCTACAAGCTATACAGAAGGATCAAATAAATATCAAAAATTAAAATTCTGGGCCAGTGAGATGATTCAGTGGATAAAGGTACCTGCTATCAAGCCTGACTTTCTGAGGTGGATCCCGAGGACCCATATGGTAGAGAGAACTGACTCCCCCAAGTGCTGTGGTACATGTGTATTCATAAACATATACATGCACAAAATAAAAGTATGATAAAAATTTGAAAATTATAGTAATTACAAATGGTACTGCATCATATTAATTTTTTTACATATTTATTTATTTGTGAGGGGCATGCTCCTGACACAATGCACATATGGAGGTCATAGAACAACTTGTAGGAGTCAGTTCTCTCCTCCGACCACATGGGTTCCAATGAGTGAAATCAGGTTGTTAGGCTTGGTAGCAAGCATCTTTACTGGTTAAGCCATCTATCTCATCAGCCCCTAAACATATTTTTAAAAGACTCAACTTCTGAGAGAAATACCGTTTCCAACTTGATAGCTGAGCCAGGTGTGGTGGCGCATGCCTTTAATCCCAGCACTTGGGAGGCAGAGGCAGGTGGATCTCTGTGAGTTCAAGGCCAGCCTGGTCTACATAGTGAGTTCAAAAAATTAATAACCTAATTAAAAATTGGGGCAAGGAACTGAAAAGCGATTTCTCAAGAGATAAATTGCAAATGGCCAAGAAATATTTTTTAAATGTTCAGCATACCTTTAATCTTAGCACTCAGAAGGCAGAGACAGGCAGATCTCTGTGACTTCAAGGTCAGCCTGGTCTACATAGCGAGTTCCAGGACAGCTGGGGCTACAAGGAGACCGTGTCTCAAAAAAAAAAAAAAATCTGGGGTGGGAGTGGTTATAAAATAAAAAAGATTGGCAGTGGGTTCACTTATTTTGAAGTTTCATCTTGGTATGGGAGTTAATTACAATAGTCTTCATTTTTGCCTATGTTTGAAAATTTTCATAGTAAGATTTTAATTTTGGGGGATAGGCTCTCACTGTCACCCAGGATTAATGCTCAGGTTCAAGCAATCCTCGTCTTAGCCTCCCCATAAGTTAACAGCACAGCCCATGACACCCTGCTAAAAGATTTGCTTGATAAAGGGTGAAGAGAAAAACATTATTAATGATGAAAACTTATTTATTCTTAAGAGTATAACCTAACGTTGTCAATGCTAGATAGCACTGTAACAGAATTTCAGTTCACTTCCCAGGGTCTGAGAATGGCTGAGTGTCAGAGTGCTTGCTTGCCTAACATGACACATGTGCAAGGTCTTGGGGTCAAACTACAGCACAAAAACAAACCAAAACTTACATTTCCTCAAGTCACTCAAGGATCACCTAAGTGAATACAGAAAGTGATTACACTGCAGAGAGATCAAATGACATTCCAAGCTAGCATGATGGTGTGTGCCTTTAATTCCAGCACTTAGAAGGCAGAGGCAGATGGATCTCTGTGAGGTTGAGGCCAATCTAGTCTACACAGAGCTCCAGGCCAGCTGCGGCTACAGGGAGACCTGTCTCAAAGCAAATAAGGGCTGGAGAGGTGGCTAAGTGGTTTAAGAGCACTGGCCACTCTTGCAGAGGACCACGGTTTGATTTCCAGGCCCCCACGGTGGCTAACAACTGTCCAAAATCCAGCTCCAGGGGAATTTGACACCCTCTTCTGACCTCCATGGACACTGCATGACATGTAGGCAATACTCTCATACACATAAAAATAAAATACAATATTTTAAAACAAAACAATGACATCTCTATAGGACACTAGGAAAAAACTGTATTAATGATACATGAGCAAGTATTTACAACTGAGATGTAATACAATAGCAATGTCAGAGAATCCAAAGTACAGAATCTCAACAATCTGGGTTAAAGTAAAAATCTGTTCTAGACAACTATCAGTTTACAAACAAAACAAAAAACAATCCTAGTAAAGGCCAAAACTGATGGCAAAGTACATTAGAAGTAAAGGGATCATTTCATAAAATATGAAGGCAACAAAGCAGATTTTATAAATGATTACTTCTACAAAAGAATTCCTACAAATAAAAAATATACAAGAAGTAAAATCAAGAGCCTAACAGCAGATTAATATAGTTGGAAAGCCAATCTGCCAAGTGGAAGAAGGCATAAAGAAAATTTAGACTGAAATACAGAGCAAAACAGTAGTAGACACAAAAATGGAAATATTCAGAGATGGTGAGAAATGCTCCCTAGGCAAATGGAACCTCAGGAGGAGAGAACGTGGCAAACACAGAGACACTCACCCATGTATTCCTAAAACATAAACAAAAGGAAGCTCAACAAAGTCAGACATCAAGCCACAGATTCAGGGGCACTATAATCTGCACGTGGAACACAAAAAAATCAAACCTAGGTTCACAGCAGTAAACCTGCTTAAAACCTAGGACATGACACCAAAAACAAAATTCAGAAAATGATTTCAAAGTACTGAAATACAGTAACTACCAACTTTTTCTTCTATGTGGACTGAAAATATCCTTCAAAAGGAGGGAAAAATAAACTATCAAGAGAATTCATCAGCCCCGTACTTAAAGAAGTTCTTCTGGTAGGAGGAAAATGACCCAATACATGCAGACAGACAGGCAGGAAGGATGGAGAGAGAAAAAACTTGTATGTAGGCAAATCTAATGAATACTTTCTATATAAGAACAATTAAGAAAAATCAAGGGAGGGAAAAAAAGAAAGACTTGCATTAAAACAGAGAGAGAGAAACAAGAACAGCACAACAGCATGAGAGCAGAGGGAGTTAACAGAGTTAATGAGGGGACTACTGTCTAGAATCAATGCATTATATAGACTGGGTGTCCACTGTAATCCCCACTACAACCATAAAGACTCCAAGAATGCATAACCAGTGAAACACAACCACTCTGGTTCTCAGTGATCATACCTCAGTGAGCGTATATGCGTCTTCAGGAGTGCACTCAGCTTGAGCTGTAGGATTACTTAGTGCAAATATTATAGGCCTTTCATTGATGCAGGCCATGGCTTTGATTACGGCAGGAGTAAAAAGCCGGCCGGCACCTGCCACTCCTGCAATGAATGAGGAGGGGGAGCAAGTTCAGTGCAAGTACAATAAAGTAATTCTTACTAACATGTTAGTATATTTACTGTAACAAAACCACAAATAATCTTTCGTTGCAGATAGATTTTATATTGCTGAGAAAACTATGGAAACACAACTTCAAATATGACAAGAAAAACAATGAAATGCTGAAAACAGTCAAATATGTCTACAGCACATTAAATTATAGAAAAAATTTAAAAGAGTATCTCCATCATTCTGAAATAAAACTTGTTACAAGTGAAATATAATAGTAACAAAGAAGGGCTAGTGAGATGCCTCAGCAGTTAAGAATACTGGGTGTTCTTGCAGAAGACCTGGATTCAAATCCTAGCACCCACATGGCAGCTAACAACTGTCCATAACTCCAGTTCCAGGGGATCCGAAAGCCTCTTCTGTCTTCCACGGGCATTGCATGACACGAGTGCACTTATCTACATGCAGGCAATACACGCATACACATAAAATAAAATAATAAATAAAGTATTTTAAAAACAACAGTGACAAAGAAACAACACTGTGATTCTAGGGAGGGATCTGGAGTAGCCAGATCCATGGAGAGAGAATGTAGAACAGTGTTTCGCAGGGGCTACAGAGATATGAGGCTGTTTAATAGGCACAGTTTCAGTTTTGTAAGACAAGAACAGTGCTAGAGAATGGTCGCACAACAGTGGGAATATTCTTAATGCAACTAATACAGACTTAAAAATGGTAGAATGGTACATTTTATGAGAATTTTACTACAATTAGAAAAAAATTCAAAAAGCAGTAAAATATGTCTAAAACGTTCAAATGTTAAACCCTTCAGTACTCAAGATCACCTTTACTACAGCAATCAACTTTTTGATAACTGAGTTTTATCTTTTATTAAGTTCTTACCATGTCCCAGATACTGAATTAGACCACTGGGGTATAAACATGAATGTAGGGTTTGAAGACTTGACTCAGCAGTAGAGTGCTTGCCTAGCAAGCATAAGACCCTAGGTTCAGTCCCCAGCATATGAGAGAGAGAGAGAGAGAGAGAGAGAGAGAGAGAGAGAGAGAGAGAGAGAGAGAGAGAAAGTAACACAAGTAATACAGGCAGATTATAGTTGAGAAGACAACAGAGAAAATCAGGATTTTTTTTTCTTTGATAAGTGTAATGACAAACACACTCAGGGTTATTGAAGGAAGAACACGTGGCTGTGGTGGGAATCTGAGGACAACTAAGTGATACCTGAGCCAAGCACTAGCCCCTCCACTTTTTTCTCCTAGTGTCCTTGACCCTCCAGAGGCAAACAATGAGGAGAGACTCTTAGGTTCCATATCGAATTTTGAGAGGAATAAACTAGAGAAGCTTTTATGATTTCGTCTTTATACAAAAAATTTTAAGAGTTCTTATCAATGAAAAAAAACAGGAACACTTTTTCTGACCATAAGAACTTACTGTTTATAAAGGTTTTATTGTTCAACATAGAGTTCCTATGTAAAAACAAAATTAGAGGATTGTAAATTCAAGCTTACATAGGAAACTAAATAGCTTCTCTTCTAAAGTCTGGCATCTCTGGTGAGAACTTGAACTCTGCTGGCATAGTCTGATGTCAGCTGCACAATGTCTGAATCAAAACACACTGAAAGCTTCTGCTGTGTGGCCAATGAAATTCTCAGTTGCACTAGATTTTTCTGGTATAGTCTGTCAAATGACCTTGGCCTTTCTGAGGTTTTGAGCTCAACAGTCACAACAACTCTAAAAGCAAAACACTATAAAGTTCCAGGCATGCATGTGTCTGCCTGTAGTCTCAGTTACTTGGAAGGCTCGGGCAGGGGAATCACCTGAGCCCAGATACTCAATGCCAGCCTAGACAAGATAATGAGACAGTCTCTTGTTTTTGTCTCTACTTCTCCAATTAATTTTTAAAATTACATTTATTTAGTGTATGTGTGTGTTTATGTGCATCTGCACTGAACATATACAGACCTTTTGTATTATTACCCAAACATAATAGCTCTAAATAACTACTTATATAGTATTTATATTATATTAGGCATAAGTAACCTAGAGGTACTTTAAAGTAAACAGCAGGGTGTTCACAGTTTACAAGCAAGTACTATATTACTTAATATAAGGGATTTAAGTACTACAGATTTTGGTATCAGTCCCCTACATACACTGAGGGGACCACCTACATATGCTAAAAGCTAGGCAAAATATGTCAAGTTACTTTAATAATCCTATACAGTAGTTATGGCAGACAGTTAAGTAACAGATTTACCAACATCTTTACTTACCAATTATAGCTGAAGGCTTAAGTTTATTTACTGCATCTTCGAAAGTAGCAGGTATAGTCTCTGGGGCTGGGTGAGCAAATGGTTCCTGATGACTATCTATGCTAGCAGTCCGCCCCTGAATTTTTTGATAAAATACAGTATTTATTAGTAAGTACATATTAAAGATTAAATAAACACATGGCTTAAGAATTAGATAAATTTTGTTTCTATGACAGAAATGTATTTTCATTTACTTTTCTCTTTAACCTATACCTTTCATTCTAACTTTATAGTGTCCAAAAATATAGTACATCAAATCTCGTCATGCCCAGAAACTTTTTTAGTCTTTCTCAAAAACTTGTCTCCTCCATGGAGTCAAAATTCAATATGGCACAAAGGCTGTCTTTTATTTGGGCAACTGAGCTTTAGAAGTAAGAATATTCTAGTATTTTAGAAATGTAACATGGCAAATATAGCAAATATTATGAATTTGCTCATCAAAAGGGGAGACCACAGTTTAAAAAACTTATGAATATTAACATCAAATAAAAAGGCTTAGTTTTGGTTTTAGGAATAGAATCCAGGGCTTTGAGCATAAGTAAATGCTCTACTGTTGAGGCATACTCTTCAACCTCCCCACCTTTTTTTTTTTTTCCTTAAGACAGAGCTCAGGCTGGTTTTGAACTCACTACATAGCTAAGACCTGCCTCTCTCTTTTTTTTTAAGTGAAAAGGTAAGAATACTCAGAATACTGGCTTCTTATACTGTTCCCAGCATTATCAAAGTTCTGTAGGATGGAAATTTAGTAGAAAACTCTCAGTCTCAAATGGATGGCACAGTTAGGATTGCTACAAGATACAAGGATTGCTACAAGATACAAAAGCCCAAGACCCATAGGTCAAGCTACCTGTACATTCTAAAACAAACAGACCAAAAAAACCATACTTTGAGCCCACAGGTGAAAGGGGATTCTCATTGTGCTGAGGGAACCTGCTGTAGCTGCCAACACTCCTGCATCCTCGACCTGACCTACCATGATAATCACAGAACACTTGATAAAAAGCAACAGTGCAAAGTGAAGCACTAAACTGTATAAGAGCAGAAATAACACCCCCTCCATAGAAAAATTCCATGTCTTAGAACCGTTCCTTTTTACAAAGTAGCAGCTACAGCAACCCGGAACAGCAGAGTTTAATGACAGAGCCCAGGCTTTAGAGTCAGGCAATATTCTCAGGTTTGAATTCTGCCTCTATCACTTAGAAGCTGATGACCTTGGAAAAATCTCTAATTTTAAACTTCAGCTTTTGTGATCGTAAATTTTCCAAAGGGAAAAGACAAAGCAAAACAAAAGAATTCCCATAAAAATTAGTATAGGACTTTTGAGAGGACTAAAGGAGACAATACATGCTATCACAATATTTGGTATACTTCGAACTACTGTTATTTTATATTATGTGTAATTTAAACCTTAAGGTTTTTCACTATATACCTCATTTTTTTCTTTTATAAAATATCTTTTTTATTATTTTTATTTTATGTGTATGAGTGTATTGTCTGGATGTATGTGAGCGTACCCATGTCATCCAATGCCATGGGGGTCAGAGGAGGGCTTCGGATTCCCCTGGAACTGGAGTTAAGGACAGTTCGTAGCCACCATGTGGGTGCTGGGAATTGAACCCGGGTCCTCTGCAAGAGCAGTCAGTGCTCTTAACCACTGAGCCATCTCTCCAGCCCTATACCTAGTTTTCTCACTTTAATAAAAAACTGACAGTAGTGAAGAAAAGAGGACTGGGGCCAAGAAGAGTGAGATAGCTTGATCCATGCATGGAAATGCAAAATAACTGCCATGTCATTAGATTATGATGCACACATAGGAAAATCAATAGAACCACATACTAGACAGATGAAGCTCTGAAACAGTTTGCCTACAAGTCATACAATGGAAGACCTATGCCATTTTTAAGCTAATAAAAACAGTAACCAATGTCAAGGATTCAGGAAGGTGAAGAGGGTACTAAAGTAATCTGGAGACGATCTTTACTATCCATGGATTGACAAGGGATTATAATGAAAGGCAATTAAAAGGTTAAAGAATTTCTGCTCAAAATTATCTCTATTGGTGCAGTAATGGCACTTTTATCTAGGGGGTAATCAATAGCTACCTAAATGGACTTAAAGCTCTCTCAATGGGAGGGAACTCCTAGGTGGCACTGTAAATACAGCCAAACACATATGGCTTGAAAGGTCACAGATCCTAGAGAAAACCCATCTCTGTCATATCTCTAGACAAATGAAACTTCTTACTCTATGCTAAATATTGATCTTTATATTTAAAGACAAGTATACCATATACCACTCATCAAAGAAGCAACAGACAGGCTATTACTGGAGTTCCACAACTAGTCCCACAAAAAGAATACATGTCTAAGAGATGCCCAGCCCTAAATGACACATCTACAGTGGAACCTCTACATCTAAGGCACATGGAACGTAGTGGAACAGGAGGTCGAGAGAATACTAATACATCCCTCAACTCTCAACAGCGAAGTTTCCTCATACACAGAGTATGATGCACACAGAAGGCCAACGCTGGCTAAGTTTTAGAGAATAAGAGACTGTAGAGTCTGTGTCCCTGGATAGGACTCTTATACTAAACCTCACCCACCCACAGCTCAGGAACCATTGCAGAAGAGGGGGGTAAAAAGATAGTAAGAACCAAGGTTGGTGCATGAACATAAGGAAACAAATGCTTTCAGGCCTCTAGGAGCTTGCTCATGAAACTGTGACAATGGTGATGGCATGCAAATGACCCAAGCTGTCTCAACTAGACAAAAACCCAGCATTGAACCAGGAAAATGGGCAGCAGGCCCCAACCCTAACCAAGGAACTATTAGCAAATAATTACTGTGGGGTAAGGGAGAATAGATCTTCTTCAAGGGAGAGACTTTAGGCTGTCCAGACTCTAGGGGATGAACTTGTACTGAGGGATATCTGGATACAAATACGTGACCAAACTGGACTAAATATATATGACAGAATACCTGAAATCTGGTGGGAGGCACCTATGAGGGATGGGGAGGGGAGTCTAAATTTGACTAAGATGTATTATATGAAATGCACAAAAACTCAAAAAAGAATTTCTACTCAAATATTAAATGTATTGCTAATAGTTTAAATAGGATATTGAATTAGTTTCAGGGTGTAGTACATTGGTAGAGTGCTTGCCAAACACATGTAAGGCCTTGGGATAAATCCCCACCACCACAAAATAATTTTAGTTTTAGAAGAGTCCAATAAAATTATATCCAATAACTATTTTATCTCTTAAGAGCCTGAGAACAGAGCAAGAAAGAGTAACTCCAACAGACAGATTATTATTTAAATATGAAGAGTTTAATGAGGACGTATCTAGATCAGGTTGGCCTGTGGGCATGTGTGTGGGGGATTGTCTTGATTGCCTTAACTGAGGTGGGGTGGAAGACCTACTCTGAAAGTGGATGCCTCTATTTCACTGGCTGGGCCCTGAAGGGTATGGAGTAAAGAAACCTAGCTGACAGCAAGCAAGGACCTGTGATTTATCCTCTCTCTGCTTTTGATTATGGATGTGTTATTTTAAATTCCTGCTTTCAATTCCCCGAACTAATGGAATTATAAGTCAAATACTAATGGAATTATAAGTCAAATACTGGCCCCCGCCCCGCAAGTTGCTTTTGGTCAGGGTACTTTATTACAACAACAAAAATGAACTTAGGACAGACAGCAAGACTGGAGAACCTCTGCTAAAAATAGAATGCAAGGTCAGTAGTGACCTTGGGCAGTCCAGTGAGATGTAAGATTGTTAAGAAACCATATGGAGCTGGAGAGATGGCTCAGCGGTTAAGAACACTGACTATTCTTGCAGAAGACCTGGGTTAGAATCCCAGCACCCACATGGCAGCTAACAACTGTCCCAGTTCCAAGTCAGGGGATCCGACAGCCTCTCCTGTCCTCCGCAGGCATTGCATGACACAGGTGCACTTACCTACATGCAGGCAACACACACAATACACATAAAACAAAAATAAAAAATAAAATATTTCAAAAAAAAAAAGGAAAGAAACTATATGTTTAAAATCCAACTAAAATATCAGCCAGGATATTCTTTTGCTTCTCTAAGTTTTTGGTTATTTTTGGTGGTGGTTTTTGAGACAGGATCTCCCTGTAACCCCAGCTAGTCTGGAACTTGCTATATAGGCCAGGCTTGCCTCAATCTCAGAGTGTTGTGCCCCCCCCCCACCCGAGCGTCGTGTTCAAAGGCGTGCACCTCCCCTGGCTCTGCTTCTCCAAGTTTTAAATACCTTACCTTAACTAATAAACCATGCTTGTCAAACATCCAGATTTTCTTTTGTGCCTCCTCTTCTGAGAGCCCATTTTCTACCATAGACATAACTATAAGATTTGCAATCCCAAGAGCAGCCTGTCCAATGAAAAGCAAATTTAAAATTCAAGACTAGAGTATGATGTAATAACTTGAACTACCTTTATGTAAAGATTGCATTATTTGGTCTATTCATCCCTTACAAATCACACAAAAATTAATTGTCTGTGACAGTCTCTCTAAACACTACTTATTTATTACAGAGATCCCGAATTGTACCATTTCAACAAAGTTCTAAGTTCATCATGATCTTTTATAAACACCAACATATTGTCTTACTTTCTAAAGGAGTGTATTGGTTTTAAATTGCAAAAAGCTTATTAAAAACAAAACAAACAAAAAAAAAAACCTTACCTCTCCTGCTCCAAGAAATAAGATTTTGTGATCTGAGATTGGTTTATTAATAACTTTTTGGGCTGCAAGAAGACCTGATAGAGCAACTGCAGCTGTTCCTGTAAGAAAATCAGAGATTTTAAATGAAAGAAAAAAAAAGAACACACTGTAAATGCTTAAAAAGAATATAAAATCCTTAGGGCTGGAGAGATGGCTCAGCGGTTAAGAGCACTGACTGCTCTTGCAGAGGACCCAGGTTCGATTCCCAGCACCCACATGGCAGCTACGAACTGTCCTTAACTCCAGTTCCAGGGGAATCCGAAGCCCTCTTCTGACCTCCAAGGCATTGCACAACACGTGCGCGCTCACATACATGCAGGCAATACACTCATACACAGAAAATAAATAATTAAAAAAAAAAAGAATATAAAATCCAAAGTGTTTTTTTTTCTTTTTTTTTTTTTGCTTTACCTTGAATATCATCATTGAAGGTACAATATTTTTCTCGATATTTTCTTAAGAACCTGAAAGCATTATGATTGCCAAAGTCTTCGAACTGAATAAGTGTGTTCCGGCCATATCTAAAAACAACAAACAACTTGATAATTGTATTGAAAACATTACTATTAAATAGATTTCCTGTTTAATACTCTTTCTAAACTTAATGATAGGCCTTAACACAAATGACAGCATGTATGAACTTCAGCGGGGGGGGGGTGTGCTATGGGAGGGTGCCAAAGGGGAAGGGGGTATAAAGATGATTTTCTGTATTAAATATACAAAAATTCAATAAAAAATTTAAAAAAGAACTAATTTAAATTTATATGTGTGTTATGCCTGTATGTACGTGAGTACACCCATGCATGCTATGCTCACAGGGGCCAAAAAAGGCAGTAAGATCCCCTAGAACTAGAGTTAGGGACAACTGTTGGCCACTATGTGGGTGTTGGGAACCGAAACCTGGTCCTCTCCAGGAGCAGTCAGTGCTCTTAACCACTGTGCCTGCCATCTCTCACCCTGTTTAATACTCTTATGATAACATTTGGAAATAGGGTACTAGTTCAAGGCCACGTATGGTTTCAGAGCTTATAAAAGATCAAAGCCAAAATATAGAAAACCAATACTCAAAAAAGAAAAAAAAAATATGCAGGGCTGGAGAAATAGCTCAGCAGTTAAGAGCATTGGCTGCTCTTCCAGAGGACCAAGGTTCAGTTCCCAGCACCCACATAGTGGATAACAAGTCTTTGTAACTCCAGTTCCAGGGGATCCAATGCCCTCCTCTGGCCTCCATGAGCACTGCACACATGGTACACTTACATATATGCAGGTAAATACTCATAAAAGTAAAAACTTTTGAGGTTGGAGAGATGGGTCAGCAGCTAAGAACACTTGCTATTCTTCCAGAGGACCTGGGTTTGATTCCTAGCACCCACATGGGAGCTAACAGCTGTCTGTAACTCTAGTTCCTGGGACTCTGAGGCCCTCTTCTGGCTTCTGCAGGCTTTGCATGACAGAGGTGCACTTAGACACATGGAAGAAATACACTCATACACATAAAATAAAATAAATAAAATATTTTTTTTGAAGTAAAAACTTCAAAAAAGTGTATGTAATGCTTAAAAATATTGCAGCATAACGGGCCTATGGGGTATCAGTGTGTATAAACTATTTCCAAAGACCAGGACAGTGTCTAGTACAGACTAGCACTAAGTAACTTAATAAAAGGGAACAGCCAATCTCTGAGTACAGAATATACATATTTAGTATGAAGAGTCATTCATTAAATAACAGTTGGCTAGAACACTGGAAGGTATACTGACTAAGCAGCCAAAAAGAACTGCTAGGTGAGTTCTTCTAGGCAAGAAGGGAAGGCTTTGCAGGTGTGGTAGCATACACCTGTATCCCAGCACCTGGGTGGAGTGTGGAGGTCTAAGGCAAGAGGATCACAAGTTTGATGCCAGTTAGACAAAAAGAGGAAAAGAAGAGATAGGAAGTAAAGCAAAGTCTATTTTGGTGATCCTGAATTTTCAACAGCCAGGGTATATATTTCAGGGTTCATATAAGTTGGGGCCAAATTAGGAAAAACGAAGAAAAAGGAACTTCTGTGTCCCATGTGGAATCCCTGAAGGCTGTAGGGGGAATTCACAGAAGCCTCCCTCTAGCAAGGATAAATGCCAGTGATACCACATTAATGTGGGGAGGTGAGGACAGAAGCCATGGCCAGGAGTCTACTATGATTCAAGAGATTGAAGCAGAAGCCAGAGGAGCCAAGGAACAGGCATGAGATTCGAGAATAAGCAGAAACTGGGGCTGAAGACCAACTGGAAAGCCAGTGAGAATATGTTCCGATGCTGAAGCATTGTGAATGACTAAGAGGGTACTATCTTGTTGCCCAAGAAAGGACAGTGAGAGGAAGAAAGGGAGATTACAACGTGTGGGAAGATGGACAGTTCAGCTTTGGATTTGTCATCTTTGCCCCTAGAAAGATTAATTTCTGAGTATCTTCCTTGTGCCAATAATAAAAAGCTAAGACAGAGCCAGAAGATGGCTCAGTGGGTAAAAGTGCTAAGTCATGCACGTGTGAGAACCTGAGTTAAATTTTAAGAACCCTTGTAAAAGCAAGACTCATGTGAGGATCTGTAATACAGTGTTCCTATAGGGAAATGGGAGGCAGAGATAGAAGAATCTCTGGAAGATCATGAGCCAGGTATCTTGGTGTAAGCAGAAGATAGAAATAACAGACTCTCAAACAAGGTGGAAGGTGAGAGGCAACATCCAAGGTTGTCCTCTGATCTCTACATGTATGCATGGCTCATGTACCAGCATTCACACAAATGAATGAACACACACACACACACACACACACACACACACACACAAAGCTAAGCCAGAGCTAGACCATAAAGATGAAGTTTGTTTTAAGTTGAAGAAAACCACCAAGAAATTTCCAGCAAAATGATATAAAGTAGTATTCATCTTTGTAAGATTAATCCAAGTGTTAAAAGGAATAGAGGAATTGGAGAGGAACTGAGGGAGGGTTTAAAGAAATCGAGGTGAGAGAAAGAAGGCTGTGGTTAACAGAAGAAGAAACACATTTTATGAGACATCTAAATGGTGGTGCCAGCTGGATCTGAGGGAGCTCTGAAGGCATGGTTGGTTGATGGAGGACAGTCACAGATAGCACCAAGATCAAAGGGCTGGCCAATGGGGTGAATGCTACTGCCAGCATTAGTAGTTAAGAGTAGAGAAGGTGGGTTCTTTGGCAAGAGAAAGAATTCCACTTGAGATATGAACACGGTATAGCAACAGAATTTTTCAAAATTCTAGCAGTTGAACATGCAGGACAATACAGGTAGGTTTCTGAGTCACAAATATGAGGGTCACAATTTACCATTAACTATAAGAACTGAAGGTGTAATTTCATTGTACAGTGTTCATTTAGCCTGTGTGAGACCTGGCACTTCATCTCCAGACCCCCCAAATATATATGTCCATTTAACATGGTGAAAGAGAAGACTATGTAGTCATCCACATTTCTTAATAGAGAGCAAGAAAATCCAGTAAAAATGACAAAAGGAAGAAGAAAGCTTGAGTTAGGATTTTAGGATTCTTTTAGTAGTCAAAAACTGAAGAGGTTCTAGGACACAAGAGTGGGGAAACCTGGTCAGATATATATAAAGAGGGCGAGGAGGAGGAGGCCAAATGGACCAGGAATTTAAAACACAGACACTGAGTCAGGACTGTGGCACAGCCTGCTATACTTGGGAAGGGGAAGCAGGAGGACAGAGTGTTCAAGCTCCTCTACAGCTATGCAGTGAATAGTCAGAAGCCAGCCTGGGGTACAAGAGACCCTGTCTCAAAAACCAACAAAAAAAGACAGATATCAAAGATTCAGAAGATCTTTGGTGGAATGTTGGGAGGGTGGGAATGAGCCTGATCATCAAGGGCTGATGGAAGAACTGTGCAGTCAGAGATTAGGAGGTGGGTACAGATTTCCATGCAGATGCCAAATAACCTCAGCAAGCAACACAGAGGTACCACCTTGTACCAGCACATATCATAGGGTATGAAAAACAGGAGTTCTCAAAATGTAATCTTCCCCTTTAAAAACTCCCAGGAGATAAAGAAAAAACAGAATGATGCAGTTTCCCCACAGTCAGAGGTTTACACATAAAGTAAAATACCTGTCAGTAATTGCTTTCATAAACTCATCGATCAAGTCATCATAAAGTTGGGAACGCTCTCGTTTCTGATATAAACCCATGTAAAATGGATCTTTTAAGAGGGCCTAGACAAGAAACCAAATGTAAAAAGTCTTATTATATGATTAGGTATGTAAAGAAAAACTTTAATCCTTTAAGAAACTTTTAATAGGCTTAACTTAGTATTATTTATATAAATACCAAGAGTTTAGGAAAAAGATTAACATCTAATTACAAGATTTTCTGCCTTCTTAAATCATCTTCAAAAGATGGCCAAAATTTTTTATAGAAATACAGGTGGATGGAGAAAGGGGGGAAGGCATTACTCACCTTGTTATCAGTTCCCACATCAATACACACAGGCAGGCACTTCTCAGGCTGAATTCCTGCACAAGCTGTATATAAACAAAGCTTTCCCACTGGAATCCCCATTCCATAGACACCCAGATCTCCAAGACCCAGAATTCTCTCTCCATCAGTCACCACAACAGCCTTTATTACAAACAAAACAAAACAACGAAATTAAAAGCTGCCAAAAATGGGGCTCTAAAGAAATTCTTTTTTAAAAAAGACTGATGATTCTTTTGATATGTTTTTACTCTTACTTTTAAAATAAAATTTGTTTTTATCTAAGTTCCAACATGAACCCATGAAGCACACTTAAGGTAGGATTTCTATAACTACAAGGTATTAAAAAGAGAATTAACTAGATTTGTTTTTCATCTGACTTTGGTTTGGAAACAGAATGCTTATTTACGCCTGCAGGACCAATTCAAATATTTTTTCCAGAGACTACACAAGTGAGAAGCAAAGACAATACTGAGGAACAGGTCTCCATGATAAGAAACTTAGAAATAATTAGCATGCTATACCAACCTAAGTGTAGCAGTACTAAATGAGAAGTCATCTATAATTTAAAAATATATGTACCTACAATAAGGTTTCAAGGTAATATTGTAAGTTTAGTTACTTTACCATAATGATTTCTAGGGGTTGGGGAAGGGGGGGCAGTGTTAATATAGGTTAAACTGGCCTCAAATTCCCTATGTAGCCAAGGATGACCTTTAACTCCTGATCCTACTTCCACCTTGAAAGTGCTGCTGGGATTACAGGCACCTGCTACCAGGCCTGGCCCAACTAACCACTCATCAGTGTTTATTTTGGTAAAGAAGACACACATAAGAAAGACAGTAGGATTATTGCCAGTAACAAATACAAAAGCCTACCAAAAGATCTTGAAGTTATTAGCTTTTGCTTTATGATAGACAGCTTCATGATCATGGTTTATACTTTCTATGTTTAAAAATCTTTTCTCTTGAGAGTTTAGTATTTACTAAGAACCATTTTGTTTTTGTGGGGTTTTTTTGTTTTTGTTTTTTTTTCTGAGACAGGGTCTCATGCATCCCAGGTTGGTCTCGGACCCACATTTCTGAACCTCCTGCCTTCACCTCCCAAGTGCAGGGATTACAGGTATGTACTTTATTATCTTGACCTAGAATAACAGTAATAAAATAGAAAAGGCAGGAAACTAACATAGTAATGACTAGGACCCAGCTTGCCTTATATACCAGCTTCAATTTCTCAGAGTCCAACAGTGTTTAGAATACTTATTATCATCATCTCCTCAGACTCAAAGCATAAATCTGCATGTATGTGTTAATAAATCAGAGCAACAAGGAAAAGTTGTTCTTGGCAATTTAGAGTTAACTTACAAGGAAAAGGAAAACATTGTGAACAGGAGGGGTATGCTCTTAGTACCTTAACATGATTTTCTGGCCAGTTATCCACAATTGATCTAACATGACCTCTGTCTGAGATTGAAATAAACAATCCCCTGCAACAGAACAAAAACACCTTTGCATTTCATGACAGTTTTTTGTTTTTTTCCTATGTTTTTGTCCATAATTGGGATATTTAGATATTTTAATAAAACATCAAGATATGGTTCAATTTCAAAATAGATTTAGCTATGTCACACTGATTTCCAAACATTTTCAACTATTTCAAACGACAATTACATTGTTCACACAGCACCTACAACAAAGATAACTGTTCAATGATGGCATCATTTTAACCCAAAAGTATCTATATTGTATGTTCTGACCAGCTAAGCAAAAATTGAAAAAAATGCTCCTGTGTAGAATGCAGTAGAATAATGATGTATAGTGTTCAAAAGTCATGTACCACATCTTTAATGTCTTCTCAGTTCTCATCTCTGGGTGCACATGAGAACCAGACCAGGAGCTTTTATAAAATACAGCTGGGCCCAAGCCTAGATTAGCTGAACCAGAAACCCTGGGGGAGGGGCCTAGGCAGCAGTATTTTTCAGTTTCCTTCTCTCCTTTAATCTGAGTCCAGAAACACTGTTCTATTAAGAAACTACAAAAGGTAATATCCTAGAAATATTTTACATGCTCTGGCTGATGGTGGCATACAGGTCAGTGTCTTCTAGGGAACGGCTGCAACATAATCATAAGGGTACTCACTAAATTCTGGGCAGCCAGATCATCTCTCTTCATCAGAATCTTGGGGAGGGAGAGAAAGCTGGCAGAGTTCAACATTTTAAATAATTCAAACAGGTGTTTCTTATGCACTCTGAAGTTTGAGACTGAGAGGGAGGCTGCGACAGATGCAATCATCCCTTGTCTGAATGTCTACACTTACAATCAGTATGTGAGCTGGCCATGGGAACAATCAAGGATTAGGGAAAACAACAGGCTAGAGGAAGCAGAGAAACTCAAAAATAGCATATAAATAAGTTTAAAAAGAACCATCACATTGATTTCTTCAACAGCTTTTTAACAGGCACTTTTACCCAAATTTGACAGTGGAGGAAACACCTTCAGAGGGATTATGTGGCTCGTTTAAGGATCTAAGTCAATGGCCCATTCCAATACTCTTTCTACTAAAATGTTTCAAAGTGTTAGAAGTATCTGAAATTAAAATTCATGAAAGCAAATTTTTTTTAAGAGGGGGAAGAAGGAAGACAAGCATTAGAAATTAAGGCTGACAAATGAAAGAGCCAGCCCCTTAACTTGGCAAATGGCCAAGAGTTTAATTATAACTATCATTTGGGGGAAGAGAAAGGTACAAAAAGCACACAATTCCTCTAATAATTACAGTAATTACTAGGAATTAGTAACTTGGGCTATTTCTATAAAAACAACAGATAGGTACATGTTGAGTTTTTATTAATCTCTTTTAATACAAATTAAGCTTTTGAGATGAGATATGGGGCTGGGATAAGACTGTAGCACACAGAAATCTAAGTAGATGTTACATAATGATTTTTTCTTACACAATAGTCATCTATCTCTCTATCTCTCTATCTATCTGTCTGTCTGTCTAAAAACAAGCCTTACTTGGGTCTATCTATCATCTATCTATCTATCTATCTATCTATCTATCTATCTAACTATCTATCTATCTATCTATCATCTATGTGTCTAAAAACAAGCCTTACTTGGGTCTTCTAAAGATGTGTCCATACTGGGAACAGGCCAGGCCAACTGTTGGTGTGTACACAATTGGCATTAGACTTTCAATATCATCTTGTAGTATTCTATAAAACAGTTTCTCATTTCTTTCTTGTATGCCCATTATATAGATGTATCTGAAATTAAGCACAGCAAATAATGTTTGAATTAGTCTATATAACACTGAAAATTCTGACTTTTAAAGTTAACCTAAATGTCATAAAACTGAGTACTCCCCACATACACTCCCCCGAGGGGGAAAAACCACCCAAACCCTAAATTATCACTTTTTTAAACACTCAGGACTAAAATTAGCAAAAATCTAGTTAAATGCTAGATGATAAATAACAAGAGAAACAACAGCTAACTATTTGGACAAAGCCTTGGAAATGCAAAGATCACCTTGTCAACAAGGAGTGCTGACATTTGAATAAGGAAGCAAAAGTGGTATTCACGCAAATGTTTACCAAACACTTATAGTGCCAGAAGTGCAGGACCATAGGAAGCCACCCGTGCCAGAGTTTACAATCCAGCTGTGTCTGAAGCATTACAAGATACACAGAGCAGAAGTGGCACAAAGTAAGCAATGGTCAAACTAGAGACCATTCTTTTTAAAAATATTTTATTGTTTTTATTTTATGTTTAAGTGTGTTGTCTGCATGTATGTAAGTGCACCTGTGTTGTGCAATGCCTGCAGAGGTCAGAAGAGGGTGTCAGATTCCCCTGGAACTGGAGTTACAGACAGTGGTGAGCCACCATGTGGGTGCTAAGAATCAAACTGGGTCTTCTGCAAGAATAGCCAGTGCTCTAAACCACTGATCCATCTCTCTAATCCCTAAAGAACATTCTTGATTTCTTTTCTCCTCCCTTTCCCCAGTCTAATAGCTCATCAAGGCCTAAAGGAAATACTTACGAAGTATCTTTCAAATATACCATTGCCTCCTTCTACACACACCCAGTCCAAAACACTAAGTAGTAGTTATAGTTTTCCTTCCCTGTTCCAAGCCATTTTTTAATACTTTATTATTTTTATTTTATGTGTATGAATGTATTTCTGTCATGTTGTAAGTGTACCCATGTTATGCAATGCCGGAAGAGGTCAGAAGATGTCAGATTCCCCCAGAAATGGAGTTAAGGACGGTTGTTAGCCACCATGTGCATGATGGGAATTGAACCCTAGTCCTCTGCAAGAGCAGTTAGTGCTCTTAACCACTGAGCCATCTCTCCAGCCCCACCAAGCCATTCTTTAAACAAACATTATCTATGATTTCTTTTTTCCTTAAATGGAATCCAAATGCCAGTAAAATAAGCTCTAACTTCTGAAGTAGTTAACAAGAACTTTGTGTACTTTTCTAGCATTATTTCCCCTGTACTGTCTTACTTCTTCACAGCTCCTCAAATACATAACTATTACCTAAAACATGGTGCATGTGATGGCCCTCTGCCTGATCACCCCTGTGAGTATTCCTTTACTCATGTCTCCTAAGGTAGCTCAGGGGCCAATCCCTCTCCTATCTCTCTCTCTCTCTTACACACACACACACACACACACACACACACACACACACACACGAGACTTTCCCATGTTCTGTTCCCACAATAGCCTATTACCTCATCTATATTCAACTTTGCATTGCTCTTGCACTGTTGTAAAGTCAAAGAATCCTAAAGTGACCCATCATAAGGGGCTGATTATCTGTAAAAGGGAGGATGTGCACAGTTATAAGCAAATATTCTCTTTATGGATGATGTGCATAGTTAAAAGCAAATATCTTTATGCTGGGCGGCAACAGTAAGCCACAGCTCCCAGGAAGCCACGCAAAAGGGTCAGTATTTGGTACTCTGAAGCAGACGGTGTTGCTATGATGTTTGGGAGGCTGGTATATCACATGCACCTTCAACTTACAATATTTTCTATTTACAAATGGCTTATTAGGACATAACTTCATCATAGCTGAGGAGTCTGTATTTCTATATTTCTAAGAGCTAGCATTCAACTGTTATGCAAATATTTGATGAATAAGTTAAGTGAGGCATTTAGGCAAATGAATTATATTTTTTACGTCTACTGGGGGGCAGAAGACATAAATATGTAAAATTATGGAAAATTTCTCATTACTATAGGGAAATAAACCATCTGTGCTATTAAAACGGCAAAGAACTTTCTGAGAGAGACGAGAGAGCTCATCAGGCATGAGGTAGAAGTTGTGCATTTCCTGGATCTCCCCAGGCTATGCCTTCATTTCATTTGAGTCACTGCATGCCTCAGGAGATTCTATCCTCACCTAGGACTCCTAAAGTTCAGGACGGCAAATGCCCTTACTCCATGCTGATCACAACCCTCTGCTACTTGGCTAGCTATTCAATGCTCTCCCTTCCTAATTTTATTGCGAGCCCTATCTCCTTGGACACGTTAGTTTCTCCTACGTTATAAGCTCCCACAAGCTCCAGCACATTCCCTACTCCCGATCCCAGGATCAGTTCTCTTACTCTGAACAATCTCTCACCATGGTTACATTTAAGAACGTACACATACACATATCTTTATCACTGCACTACCCTCCTACAGTATCTGTTTTTTTTTCCATTTGTTAGCAACTGTGCTGGATAGCTTTAGTGTCAACTTGATACACCTGGGTTGAGGGAGCCTCAATTGGGGAATTGCCTTCATTGGACTTGCCTGTAGCCATGTCCATGGGGCATCTGCTTGAAAAGTGATGTAGGAGGGCCCAGCCCACTGTGGGTGGTACCACCCCTGGGCAGGTGGGCCTGTGTTGCATAAGAAAGCAGGCTGAGCAGGGGCCAGGGGAGTGAGGCAGTAAGCAGTGTTCCTCCCTGGCCTGTGCTCTAGCTCCTGCCTCCAGGTTCCTGCCCTGAGTTCCTACCTTGGGTTCCCGGATGAACTGTGATCCAGGATATGTAAGCTAAATAAACCCTTTCCTCCCCAAGTTGGTAGTGGTCATATATTTTGTCACAGCAATAAAGAAATGAACCAGGACAGTGACCAAAGGGCTGAATTTCATTTTATAGTGCGGTAACCTGATCAAAGCCTGACACATAATAGAACGAATTAATCAAAACTTGAATCAATGTTACATCTCTCCTTTCCTGTGGAAAATAATACTGCTGTGCAGAATGACACCAACACAAACAAGATTATGCCATGAGGCTTCAGAACCTGCTCTCATACCTTTTTGTTTCATTGTTGTTTTGTTTTGTTCAGACAGGGTCTCACTATATAGCCCAAACTGGCTTTGAACTTGTGATCCTGTTCCTTCTGCCTCCGCCTCTCTCAAGCACTGGAACTACAGGTGTGGTACCACCCTGTCAGGATTGCTCCCTTTTAAACAATCTAACTTTTAGGGGCTTTACCCCCTAACTAAATGTCTCTTCCTAACTGAATAGACTTTCCCTGTCTGATCTTGGTCCTATATCTTACCTGTAACATTCATATTCTATTTCATAAATAAAGTCCAGGTCATCAGGTTTTGTGCTATCACTAGCATTCCTACCGTACCAACGTCTGTATGTATCCCCTTCTAGATTAATGGAGACTTTCTACTTCTGCATTTGACCCTATACCTTTCTCCTTTCTCTGAAATCTTGCTGTAGTAATTATCCTTTCTCCTGGACTTGTTCCTTGCCAACTACAAACACCTTCAACTTTTCCCAGGCCAGAACACTAAACCAGAGTCCCACTTTATTTATGGTTCAGTGTCTTCCCCTTCATCCTTGAACCTGAGAGAGTAGATTCCACTGTTTCATCACCCTTCCTTTAGCCCCATCACATCATGAAACCACTCACAAGTCAGCAGTGTTTATACTTACCTCAATAGACACACTCAGTCCTAAATTCAGACTGATCCCTCCACCTACAATACTTTGCCCTTTCTCATTTTGGCTGTTATCTGCTACTCACTGACTTTACAACAGTGTAAGAGCAATGCAAAGTTGAATATAGAAGACGTAAGAGGTTTGTGGGAACAGACTACGGGAAAGTCGTGTATGATAGGAGAGGGAGTGGCCCCTGGGCTACGTTAGGAGATGTGAGTAAAGGAATACTCACAGGGGTGATCAGCTCAGACATCACTTCCTTCAGGAAGTTTTATCTGATTCCCTGTGTTGAGCTAGGTTCCCTCCTCATGCTTCCAAATACATATCACATGTACGTTTTTCCACTGTGCTACACACTGCAGTGCAGAGTACAATGACAGCTGCAGCACAGCTATCTGCTGCTGAGCTCCTAGAAGGCAGGGCTCAATGTTACAAGGTTGGTCACTGTGATGGTTCACCTCAATGGTCAACTTGAAAGAATTTAGACTCATCATGGAAACAAATTTCTGGGAAGTCTACGAGGGTTTTCTAGATTAGGTTAATTGACATGGGAAGACTCACCCTCAATGTGGACAGCACCACTCCATGGGCTGGGGTCCTACACTGAATAAAAAGGAGGGAGACAGCCCAGCAGAAGCATTCATGGCTCTCTGCTTGTGGACTGTGGGCACTGTGACAAGCTGCTTCAAGCTCTTGCTGCTAGGACTTCCCTGCCATGAGGTCTGTACCCTTAAACTGTGAGTTAAAATAAATCTGTAAGTTGCTTTGCCAGGTATTTTGTCACAGCAACAAGACCAGTAACTAATATAGTCACTGCTGTGCTTGAAGGTGTTCTCTAAATTCCATGTGTTAGAAACTTCATTCCCAAAGCTGCATGTCAGTGGTATTTGGAAGTGAGACCTTTGGGCGATTATCAAGTTGTGAGGTCTCTAGTCTCATGAATGGCTTAATCCTTTCCTAGACTAATGGGCTATCAAGGGGGCAGGTTAGTTATCAGCACAGTGAGTCTTTTATAAAAGTCAGCTAATTCTCTCACTATTTGATACCTCAAGCGGCCTCAAGAATCCATAGTCTCCAGGGCTGAAGAGATGGCTCAGTGGATAAGAACACTGACTGTTCTTGCAGAAGACCCGGGTTTGAATCCCAGCACTCACATGGCAGCAAACAACTGTCTATAACTCCAGTTCTGGGGGACCCGACAGTCTCTTCTATCCTCCACAGACATTGCACAACACGGGTGCATGTACCTACATGCAGGCAATACACGCATACACATGAAATTAAAAAATAAATAAAACATTAAAAAAAAGAATCCATAGTCTCCACTGGCAAAACACGCTCTCTCTGGATGTGGCCCCTCATTCTTGGACTTCCTTGTCTCCAAACCTAACAGCAGAACTAACACAAAGTAGGTGATCAAAAAAAGCTATTGAGAAAGATGGCATTGCATGGCACCGGTGCATTTACACACATGCAGGCGTAACACTCATACGTGTGAAATAAAAATAAATTAATTAAAAGCTGTTGAATAAAATGTGCACAAATCAGATGATACTTCATGTTCCTAATGTTCTATTCATGTGTGAAATGTGGATGGAACTAATTATCTTTAGCACAAAATTGCTTTCTACTAAAATAGTGGGCATTAGTAAGTGGTCACTAAAGGAAGAGAAGACAATCACTGCGAAAGGGGTAAACTGATAAAAGCACAAACTTTACGGAGAAACAGTGCATTTCTCATGCCATAAAAACAAACTCAGTTTTTTCTAATCAGTATCAATTAAAAAACTAAACATACAATCAACTCTTACTTTTCCAAAGGGCTACTCATTTTCTTCAAGTTTCTGTGGAATCGTAAGGCTTGAATATCTTGGGTCTCTATTTTAGGAGGTAAAAGTCCTTGTAGACCAAGCATTTGTCGTTCCTGTAATGTAAATGCCATTCCCTAAAGAGAGATAAAGAATTAAAGTCAGTACTGACTCTAATAGCAATGGTACTGCCTTTAAGATGATTCTGAAAATCACCAAAATACATTTTCTGAGACTTTCAAAACTTTTTAAGATTGATGACATCCAGTATTAATGAGCTTGTAAAAAAAGTTACTTCTCATCTAGTCAGAGGGACTTAAAGGACAGTTTTTGCCCCTTGCCCTCCAAGGTCGACTAAGTTCCAGGGGACTATGGAGTATTTCTCAAAATGTCCTGTAACTGTGGTGAGTCACCTGTCGTCTTGTTCAGGGAGGTCATGGAAACCCCACCAGATGGACTTGAACCAGTGTCCAGTCTACAAAGAGGAGGGTCAACTCAAAGAGGAGAAACATCTCATTTATGCTTCCAAGTGAAGCCAGACATGGTCGAGCAGGACCTTTGACGATTATCTTCACATAGATGGAATTGGTAAAAGTAAGGAGTCAGGGGCTCCTCCCAAGCCCATGTGACCCCCAAGGAACAGATCCTCAAACAACCTTAAGTGTAAAAGTAAATTGATTTATTTGGGCCAACTGAATGGTCTTAAACACCCAAAAGGAAAATATAACCAACAAGTAAAGTCATCAGTATATTTCTTTAAGAGTTCAAAGGATTACACTTCCTGGACATTAAGCTTAAGTCAATATAAAAAGTTATTTAGACAATTATTTCTCATTGATTACTCTGGCTTCTTTCATGCTGAACAGGGATGCAGGGGGAGGCAAACGGAGTACCCCTTCAGTGGGTCTATCTAAAAGACTCCCGAATTGTATAACTCTTGTCTCTAAGGGGAAAAGAAAGCAGGGTCACTGGACCCTCACCTGAGTATCCAGCCACTCTTCCCAGCCAACTAGTCCAATCTTGGAAGACAAAAGAAAAATGAGAACGAACCCAATAGAGGGATGCTTTTGGAGGCCCTTGTCAAGACTCTCCAATGAACTCTCAAATGAACATTTGAAAATTGCCCTGTTCTTTTTTCTAGTTCCCTGTCTAGAACTTGTAATGCTAATTACTATTGCCTTTACTTCTCCTTCACATCTCCTAGTCACAATTCAAGAACTTTCTTTTCCCCCTACAGATAAGAGTTAAGAAATCTGGGAGTCTTTTAGATAGACCCACTGAAGGGGTACTCCAATTACCTCAACCTGCATCCCTGTTCAGCATGGTAGAAGCCAGAGCGGTCTGTGTCCCAATTGTCTATCTGCAAGTTGGGTAACCTTTTCAGAGGATGGTGTGATAAGAATAGGAGGTAGGAATTGGCTAGGAAAAGTAACCAGTTTCTTGGCTAAAACAATGTCCTTGGGCCTCTTAGCAACATACTCCATTGCCAAAGGCCAAAAATATCAAAAGTATTTGGGAGCTTTTATGTAATCCTTAAAAGATTTTAGGGTTATCTCTTCAGAGGGGGAAATGTTAGAGTAGCCAAAAGCCCCATTAAAAAAATAATAAAAGAAGAAGAAAGAGTACCTGAAGTTATCAGAAAAGTGACGCGGGGATATGGGAGGAGATGGAGAGGGAGTGGGCATGGATTTGATCAAAACACCTTATATGCATGTATGAAATTCTCAATAAATAATTTTTTAAAAAGTTACTTCTCACAGACACCACCACCTAGAATGTAAACTAGTGAGGCTCTTGGAAGGAAAATTCAAAGTACACTTAAACATTTTAGTGCACATATTTTCCAGTGAAGTAATATGACTTACAGATAGCCATCCCAGAGAAATATCCAGAAAGGGAATACAGAGGTCTATACAGAGGCCAGTAGTAAAACTGTTCCTAGTTCTCTTGGCTATTAAAAACTAAAAGTCCATCAACTATGCAATAGGACCCTATTGTATATCCAAACCATGAAATACTACAGAAAAGTTAAATGTATCTAAAGTACATATAATAGCAGAAAGATCCTCGAGACATAAGGGGCGATCAAGTCACAAATCAAAGCATACTGTTAACCCATTTATGTTTAGAAAACTCTCATGAAACCACATATTTAAAAAATATATATATGTATGCATGTAACATAAATGAAATCCATACATAAGATTCATTTAGCATATTATAAATGAAATCAACAAAATACTGTACCAGAAAATACTCAATTTCTGGTTTTTAGCTATGAGGTAAATTAAAATGATCCCAGCAAAAATGTTTATGGATTTCTCAAAATTTTTCCCTCCATAAAAAGGATAAAACACTGGCCAAATAATCAGAATCAACTCTTTTCTTAGTCCTGGAAATTAACTAAGACTTGAAAGGGCCTTAAGCTGACCTGGAGGCTCTGCAGGAACAGGAAGTGAAGGCTGATGTATAGTTAACTGCACAATCAGGAAGTGAAGGCTGATGCATTAGTTGTTAACTGCCACCTGAGTGATGGAGGCAAGCATGTGGATGCATACAGACCACTTCACAAAGCATGGAGACTAACTGGTTTTGATTCCAGATATTTATGTCTCTGCCTAATCATTAGCTGACTACCAGAGACTTCATCAGACATACACACAGGGAAATACAGACTTAAATACCATTACAGAGTAGAGCTGGAGATGCGGCTCAGTGGCAGAGGCTTGCCTAGCATGTGCAAGGCTCTGGGTTTGATCCTCAGTGCTGGGGCAGGAAGAAAAAGAGGAAGAATCAGAAGAAAGAGAAACATCTACCACCGTAAGAAGCCATGTATGATGGTGCACACCTGTAATCTTAGTATGAGAGGCTGAGGCAGGAGGACCATAAATTTAAAGACTAGCTTGAGCTACAAAGACTATCCTAATTTTTTTCTAAGTATTATGTATTATACTTAGTATAAGCTGTGGGGTCAACTGCACTATGCTCTTTTTTTTGGATATGCAGAATTCAAGTTATATAGCAATGGAGATATCCACTGAGATTCCAGGCGAAAGGCTGGAAGCCAGACCAGGTATGGCAGGTTCAGAGTCCCTGCCATGACAGGGGCAACACGTAGAGCTGTGAGAGCAAAGTTAAAGGTGTGAAGGAGTCAGAAGGAAAACAGATGCCAAGAACCAGAGTATCTGCCAAAGGAAGATGTAGGCAGTGTGCAAAGCCAGTCTGAGAGGCCAGGAGGAGGACTGCAGATAGGACGGCTCTAGATGGACTGCCTCACCCCTGGAAGCCCACATACAGCCAAGTGAATGCTGGACACACATCGATGTGGGATTCAATGTTTGCTCTGTGGAGTTTTGGTCCTGCTTTGGCCCAATCCTTCCTTTCTATGCCTCTAGTCTTCCTTTTTCAAACAGAAATGCTTAAACCTTACTACTGTATATCTTAAGAGTATGTTACTTTCCTTTTATTTTCACAGAATTTGTCTTGAGTCTTAGAGGAGGCTTTGGACTTAGACATTTAAGCAACAGTGGAACAACTGGAAACTCTTGGAGATGGACTCACTATACCTTGCATGTGGTATAAAAATGGGCACAAGCCTTTAGAGGTCAGAGTGGAATGCTACTGCTTTGATCTTAAATATTCTTCAAAGGCCCATGTGTGACACTCTTGTTCCCTGGAGTGAGTGGCACTACTGGGAGATAGTGGATATATAAAAGGTGGGACTGAACACAAGGGTCTTTGGGTCACTTGTGGTTGGGTGGGCAGGGTGGCTGACCATGAAGGAGACTGTGAGGTATTGATTTCCACTTTTGTCTTTTTATTGTCCTAGATATGAAGTCAACATCTTTGTTCTATGACACTCCCCGACTTGCCCCAAAGCAGCAGGGCTAAATGACAATGGACTAAACCTCTAGAACTATGAGTCCTCAACTTTTTTTTCTTTACAGACTGATTATCTCCAGTCAGGCATGGTGGTACTTGCTTTTAAACCTAGCACTCAAGAGACCAAGGCAGGAGAATGATGAGTTGGAGGCTAGCCTCAGCTACAGAGTGAGGCCCCACCACACATACATACACACACACACACACACACACACACACACACAAAACCCATAAAAAAAATAAACCAGTTGATTGATTATATCAGGCATTTGTTATAGTGACAGAAAACTAACATATCAGCATAATCAATACTTGTGGGGACCTAAAGGCCCCACCTTGCAGAAGTCTGAGAGGAAGTTACTGGGGCGCAGCCTGGCTTACTTTGAAAGTCTGAAGAATACGTGGTGCATGATCAGTGCGTGACCATCCTTAAGATACACCCTCAGGGGGGAGGGGGGATTTCCAGGTGCCTTTATAAGCTCTGTAACACCTGCAATAAATGAGTCCCTGCTTAACTAGGCTCCCTGTTGCACCTGAGTGTTCCCGGTACTGGGGGTGGCGTGGGGGCGAACGGCATGCTTACTCATCCCCAATCATCACTGTGTGGGGGTTGCTGGCTCGAACCCCCCACAAATACTGATTAAAAACAATCTCTTAATCAGGATGGGGGAGATGGCTCAGCATGTAAAGGTGCTTACTGTGTGAAGCTGGGCTTGAATTCCAACACCTGAACCCGTGTAAAGGTGGTAAAAAACTAACTCCACAAAGTTGTCCTCTGACCTCCATACATGTGCTATGCACAGGTGTACTCACACATACACATCACACAATAATAAATTTAAAATGTTAAAAAAAATCTCTTAATCAGAAATGTAAACATGTAAGTGTGTATGTTGGGGGTGAGGAGTGGCAAATAAGAGGCCCCTTGCAGTCTTTCCCTGACAGTAGTTAGAATAATATGTCAAGGATTAGGAAATTACCAAATACTTAGGTAACACGACATGACTTACAATGTCAAAATAAGGAACAGTACTCAATAATAACCCTATGGTCACTGGTGCTAAATTATATCATTATAAATTATACCCGAAGAAAATAGTAACTCACAGAGTATTTTACAGTATCTAAAATAACTTTACAGGGTTTTTCTTCCTTTTTTTTTGTCTTTTTGAGACAGGGTCTCTCTGTAGCCCCAGTTGTCCTGGAACTCACTAGGTAGACCAGGCTGGCCTTGAACTCACAGAGATCCGCCTGCCTCTGCCTCCCGTGTGCTGGGGTTAAAGGCGTGTGCCACCATGCCTGGCTGGTGTCTTTTTTTTTTTTTTAATTGCAATCTGATGAAGTAAATGGGGTCTGAATCACTGAGGCTGGTGAAACAAAAACACCATAAGGATAATGATGTACCCCACAATATGCAAAATCACACAGAATGATCTGTTACTGCAAAGAACCCAGGTCTAGGCCTGATTGTCATGAACACAATCAATCTCAAAAAGATGGTGCAAGATGTTTGATTCTCATCCCCCACCCCCACCCCAGGCAGGGTCTCCCTGTAGCCCAGCTGGTCTGGAACTCACTATGTAGATCAGACTGGACTTGATCTTAGAGGTCCACCCGCTTCTGCCTCTGGAATTCTGGGCTTAAAGGTGTGGGCCACCACACCCAGCTACAGGATGTTTTCTTAAGAAATCTCTTGAGGGGCAATGAGTTAGTTGGCTTGGCAGGTAAAAGCACTTGCCCGTGGAAAGTACATGAGAGTGGAAGGAGAAAACTGACTTCATAAAGTTGTCCTCGGACCTTCATGCTCACAGATACACAACACAAAATACACACATACACACACAAAATTTTAAAAATATAAATCTAACATAGTTACCAAATAGCTATTATAGCCAAGACATTGAAAAAGATACAAAGTAGCTGAATAGTACTGCCCAAAACAAGTAGGAAATATACTCAGAAAAGATGTAAACTCATGGAAACTTAAATACCAATGATTCTAATACAACATAAGACATGAAAGGTAGTACAAAGCAACACAGATTGGCTATTTGCCATAGGACCAGCAGGATTAAAAACTGCTACAGGGTGTCAGAGAAAGGAGTAACTGCTCTAGTGTATGGTGGTAGGAAAAGGTTCTGCTGGAGAACTGTGTTGCTGGGTTTTGCTTGTTCAATGGTGCTGGAACTGAATCTGGGTGTCCAGCATACTATGTCGGAGTTCTTCTGTGACACCGCATCTCCAGGCCTGGATTATGAATGAGCTGCATGCTGAAGAGCATACAGGATTTGGAGAGATACAGCAACATCAGAAGGGTTCAGGATGTCTTCACATGTTTCTTTTAGCCTGCAGCTTGCACAGCTCACTGTGGGAAGTATCATGATGCTGAAATGAGGTGTACTCTGGGGCCAAATACCCCTGACTCCCAAAAACTTGGTATACTATGCAGTGCATTGTTTTCCTCCCATAAAGAAAGAAAAATGGGATTGAAAAAAATTTATGGAAGTTCTTTTAATTTTTAAAAATTAAATTATTTAATCTGAATGCACCATTCTCAATAAAATAAAAATAATTTTTTAAAAACTGATGGCCCCACCTGAGGAGTGACACCTGAGGTCATCCTCCACCCTCTGCACAAGCACAGGCACCCATATATATGTACACACACACACACACACACACACACACACACGCACACCCAAAGTTATATTTTATTTATGTCCTTTTTTGTGTGATGCTGAGGACTGAACCCAAGAACATGCTAAGCATGCAAGTCTACCACTGAACTGTTCCTTTAGCCATTGTTTATGAATGTTTTAACCACATGTCAAACATTGTGCAAAGCATGTCAAAAGTCTTTTTTTATTCTCTACACAGACAACATTATGAAACAACTACTACTATTCTTGGCATGTTTTCAGATGATACCAGGTAGGCTATTTGAGGATTTATTCAAGTGCCCACAGTCATGCAGTGAATAAAGCACAAAACTAGAGCTGGAACAACATTGGAGGGTCCAGCCCTCTCAATATTGTTGAGTATTTAACATTACCACTACACACAGACAGGATTTGCCTATTGAATCCAGCTTTAAAAAAAGGATGAAGTTATGACTGGATCTCAATACTGTCCATCATTCTGTCCTAACAGTGATAATAATTTTAAAAAGTCAAGGGTCTTTCACCTTTGAAGCATCTGTCTAATTAATGGGCAAAAATATGTGCAATGTTATATCTAAAGAGATGGGTACAAGTTGGGTGGACTGGACTTTGAATAAAGGTCATTTCACATTTTTGACCTGGCCCTTCAAAGCCTAACTGATTGGCCCAGAGTGAGACTCTGCTTCAAGCTAGTCAAATCTATATCCCCTACCTTGCCCAGAGTCCTGTCTATTGTACTATTCTGAGGTGCTCTGATGCTGCTGTTTTGCATTTTGTTAGAACTACGAAGTAGTCAAGTCTTCTCTGGTGGTAAAAGTTGTGAAAAGTAAAACTTTGGAGGTACAGAACAGCCATGATTTTTGTCATATGGAGAACAAAAAGCTCATGTAGATACAGAGAAAACAAATGTTGAAATGTCTTAGTATACAGCTACCAGATACAAAAATTCCATACCGTGTCAAGATATCAAACCTTTACCAGGAAGAGAGAAAACTTACACTGGTGTTATTGTTACTCACCTTGTTTGTTCTTGGATTCAACATGAGTGGCTTGCCTTTCTCCTTCAGGTGCAAATGTCGGCATGTTGAAGTACAGGGAGTGGCCACGGCTCTTAACCTGGAAAACATTTTTTTCTCCACCTGGAAAAAAAAGTGCTGATGAGACACATGCAGAACTGCATGTTAGTATATTATCAGTCCTCAAAAGCAGATTTAGGAGGCTGGAGAGACGGCTCAGCAGTTAGGAGTACTGGCTCTTCTTGAGAGGACCTGGGTTCAATTCCCAGCATCCACATGGCAACAATCGTCTGTAACTCCAGTTCCAGGGGATCTGACACCCTCTTTTGACCTCCTTGGGCATTACATACATGCAGGCAATACAGTCATATACATAAAAATACAAATAAATAATTTTTTTAAATTAAAGAACTGCCTTATTAGGAAAATGAAGATTACATATATCTTGAACAGCTAAATTATAGAAAGATCAGAAATATCTTGCTTTGAAGACTTGGGACTCGACTGTAAGTAAAATATTTTTTTAAAGCATATTTAGAATGCTTACTGTACATTAGAAAGAATGCTTTGTTTTAAAGAACATTACTAAGGCAACTGACAAGCAGGGAGACACACTACAGATGGCATAAAGGTGGCCTGTAACTTTACATTTTCTGAATTTGGTAACTGATAATTACCCTTCACTGTCAACTTGACTAGATTTAGAATCCCCAAGGAGATATACCTATGTGGGCACTTCCAGAGAAGTTTTAAGGAAGGAAGACGAGCCCTGAATGTGGGTGACAACACAGCATGTGCTGGGGTCCTGGACTGCACAAAAAGGGGGAAAACGTGAAGTTGGCCTTCATCTCTCTCTCTGCTTCCTTGGTGCCCTATGTGGAATCCCAGCCACCAGCTCTTCCTGTTGCCATGAACTCTGCCATGCTTTCCCTACCTTGGACCAAAATAAACCCTTCCCCTCCTAGTTTGCTTTCTTTCAGGAATTGGTCACAGCAGCAACAATGTAATACAGACCCACAGGTGAGATACTCTTGCTCTGAATACACATTACAAAGTTTAAAGGGGCAAAGGGATATGATACATGTATAAAATTCATCTTTTAAAATTATTTCAAAAGAAAATTTAAAAGAAATCTACCCAGTAGCTTCAAAGTATGCTAGCAAATGCTGGAGTCATGATTTAATTGTATCACAGACCTGGGGGAGCCCTGGACAACCAGAAACAGAAGGCTGCAACATGGACCTTTAGGACTTTTGACTCCACTTTTTAAACTTCATTCCAAAGAGGAAGAGCTTCTCTAAGTAGAACTTCAAAACCAAAGGACTGCTTAACAAAGTCAAGCATGTGTACTGCAAGATTGTGTCTCTTTACAAAAACAGTTTGACCAACTAGAAAAACACCTAAAGAAGCATCTAAATTATGGCTTTTAAAATCAGCTTTTAATCCCAGATTTACACAAAAGTTACAAAGACAACTGAGAGTTCTATTACTCTCCCAGGTTTTGTTTCTCCTGGTGCTTCCAACAGGAGAGGCTGAAGTGATGGGATTTTTCTAAAGAAAAATGTGCCCACACTTTAAATTTTATCATCAGACAAGACACTGGCTTCAAAGCGTTTCAAGATTGTCTTGGGTTTTTCCCAATCTTAAAAAAAAAAAATTGGCGGGGGGGGGGTGTGTGTGTGGTGGTGCATACCTTTGGTCCCAGCACTCGGGAGGCAGAGGTAGGCAGTGAGTTCGAGGCCAGCCTGGTCTACATAGTGAGTTCTAGGACAGCTGGGGCTACTGGGAGTCCCTGTCTCAAAAAGACCCTCCCCCCCAATTTTTTTTATTTATGAGTATTGCTGATCATTTATTCCTAGACACTAAAATACTCTATTTTGCAAGAAACTATGTTGAAACTGTTTTCTGCCATCCACCAAACCTCAGAAGAAATGTGCTAACATTGTTTCAAGGGCATTTGTATAAGGCTTGGTATTCCACCAACACATAGCTGTGACAGGCAAGGCTGGAGACTTTCAACATTGCCACAGATGCCTGTCATGAATACAAGTAACTTTAAAGTCAAAGCATGGTGGGGAATACAATGAAAACAATGTGTGAATGATCTGAATGGTTTTATGCTCTCTGAAAAACAGAAAAATCATTGTACAAAGAGCCAGGCCAAGATAGAAGGGTTCAACTTCAAGGAAAAAATTGAAGAATTAAGTGTGGGTCTTAAGAAAAGCTGACAAAGTACAATGTGGGAAGAACAGGAAGAGAAAGACACAGAGAGAGAACACTATCAATCAACATCCTCATAAATGCAGTTCAAATTCCTCCCAGGACCATGTATGAATGAGTCAGTTCTAACCAGCAATCAAAACTTCAAAGGCAACTATAATTTCTTTAGAGGGGGGGAAAAATGAGAAAAACATTTAGTGAAAAGAGTAAATATGTGCACTGTACGCATACAACATAACAGGTTTTTAAACTACATTTACAAATTGATACATATAAATGCATGCACAAATTTCTGGAAAGACAATGAAAGAGAAAGGACAGAAGCTGTCTGTGACTTTCAGCTTTACTCCACGGAATTTGGGCTCATTCCAAACATTAAAAAAAATATATTATTTTTATTTTATGTGTATGTGTGTATTGCCTGCATGTAGGTTAAGCGTACCCCTGTCATGTAATGCCTGTGGAGGTCAGAAGAGGCTGTTGGATCCCCTGGAACTGGAGTTACAGACAGTTGTTAGCTGCCATGCGGGTGCTGGAATTTGAACCTAGGTCTTCTCCAAGAACAGTGTTCTTAACCTCTGCGCTATCTCTCCAGCCCTCATTCCAACATTTTAGGGAGAATAAATTTATACATGACCTGAAAAGCCAAAAAATATCTAAATTTAATGTTTGGAGATAGCAAGACCTAGAGAATCAAAGAGTGTTTTTTTCTGTTTTAAATTTACCTTTAAGAGTTCATCTCATGTATTTATATGCTGAGAATAGAAACTAGAGTAGCTAAGAGAACAGTGAAGTTTCCATTTTCCCTGCCTCCCACCCTTGAAACAAGCACTGTACTTCCTGCCCTAGTTAACGGATCCACTGTCTACAGAAACACTAAGGAACAAAATTATCTGTAAAGGAATTCTTTCACTCTCCTCACATAACATTTCAGACACCAATCTGTGAAGACAGTTGCTTTCCTTCTACACTTCCAGTACAACACATGACTCACCAGATGTGTACAAGGGCTTATGCTACTCAATTCTCCAGCAGATACCAAGGGATGCCCTGAAAGTCAATTCAACTGTGACACTACCCAGAGTCAGTGTAAGACCCCCAGGACCCAGACTCACAAGACTGGCCCCACTCCAGTTGCCAACTCCAAGTAGTAGATTGTGGCCTAAAAAAAATTTAGCCAGCTTCATTATGGGCTTGATAATTTGCTAGGATGTGTCACAGTACTCAAGAGAAAAACTTTACTTACATTTACTTATCTTTTATAAAGGATATGAAAGGATGTAGATGAACAGCAAGATAAAGAGATGTATAGTGCAAGGTGGGTGGGTGGACGTGAAGATGGAGGGTGGAGGAGAGCACATTGCTTTCTCTCTTGTACTTGGTAACCCAGGAGCACACAAAATCTTATTCAAGAGATCATGAGTTTAACATGCAGCCCCACCCTTCCCAGGGGTCAAGGCTGAGGCTGAAAGTTCCAATCCTCAATTCACTGAGGTGACCAGCCCTACCCTGGAGCTCCACCCAGTTATCTCATTAGCATAAAATGAGGTGCTCAAAGGGCTAATCAAGAACAAGACATTCTATCACTCCAAGGGTTTTAGCTCTATGCAAGGAACAAAGACAGACACCAGAGGCACTTCATATTCATATAGCACTCCCTACCCAAATATGTAATTATGACCCTGGACTGTCTCTGTCTCTGTCTCTCTCATTCTCCTCGTACCCTCACCAGCCCTTCTTCCAACAAGTCCCCTCTCCCCTCCTACATCATTTAGGGGTAGTTTGTTTTAGTCTCCCCACCCGCCCCTCTTCTCTTTAAAAAATGGAATCATTCTGTAGTCCTGGCCTCACCTAGAAACCAAGGCAATCCACTTGCCTCAGCCTCTCAGTGGTGGGATTACAGGGATGAGCCACCACATCTAGCTCCCTGATATAGGAAAATACACAGATGGAACAAAATTCATAAGCCTTAAACATAACTGCTCCAATTACAAGATTTACATACTTAGATTTTCCTTGAATCACTATAGTTACAAGTGTTAGATATCATCTAGGTTAAACCTCTTAATTTAGCTGAAAACAACTAAAGCTCATATAAACTGACAAGCCCTATGCATTTCACTCTGCTTATCAGTGACTGTCTAGGGTTCTAATCTGATTTTCCTTTCTTGTTCCAAACTTTTCAGTCCTTGAAACTTCTCTTATGGTGGTTTTGTTTCTTCATTTTTTAAAATATAGATCCTTTCTTTTCTGCTAAATCTCACTTTTTCAAAACAAAAATTTACTAATTGAATAATTTCTCTAACCTAAATTCTCACAGCTCTTTCTTTCCTTTCTTTTTTTAGACAGGACTCTCATATTCCAGGCTGACCTTGAACTTCTGATCTTCCTGCCTCCATCTCCTGGACCCAGAGCATCTTGTGTATTAGGCAAGCACTCTACCAACAGAGCGCTATCCCCAGCCCTAGCTACCTATTTCTGATATGCCTTTTTTCCCCTTTAACTATTTTAAGTCTATATTTCTATTTGAGCCTTTTTATAGTCATCTATTCATGTTTTAAACTTAAAATTATGGTTTCATTAAATATTTCAAAGTGCTTCTCAAGACCCTTCTAAATTATTCTAATATTTCTAGTAACTAGATAAAAATTATGCCAAGAAAGAGACAAAAATTTGTATCTATGCGGTTATTTTCTTAGAAAAATATTAGCAATCTTTGGCAGTGGTTCCCTACATGTTGCGTGCTCCCTAGATGCCAACTTTTGGAGGCAGTTTCAAATTGGCCTCTGTGGAGATCCAGAGGATTTACAGCCTAAGACCCATTCCTAAATTAGTTCATGTTCTAAATGAATACATATCTAGGGGACAGAATTCCAAACGCAAATTCAAGTAAGCTGAAGGCT